CTGTATAGTTTTTAATATAGTATTTTAAGTCCCTCGTCATTCGATAGGTTAAGTGAAGGGGCTCAATGGGAATGTAAATGTTGGTAGCTAATAATTTGGAAACAATCCCGCGTGTTGACAGGGAATTGTAACTACTCCTTCGCAGGAACCCTCCCCCATCCCCTCTTCCCTTTCCCTAGTGTATCTTTCGGCTTTCTTAGAAGTTCGTTGGTGCCCAGGTATTCTCCCAGGTGGAGAGATGGGTTCTTAGAGAGAAGTCTGTTATATAAGAACAAAGCACAATGAACCGGACGAGACTCGAACCAACCCAACGCGTTTAAATATGAGGCTTCTGCGGTTTTCCTTTAGTTTAATGGGTAATTGTTTTTTTTTTTCAGAAAGTCACAAAGGCTAAAGTGCGGAAGATAAGCAAGTGAGTCAGTAAAACAATCCAAATGCATTTATCTTTGGGTCTCCGAAGCAAATTTGCTTGTTGTTAATCCTGTCTTCTGTCTGTATACTGTACAATTTCAGTATAGTATAGTACAGTATAGGTAGTGGAGGCAATGTCATAACTTTTTAGCTGTCAATTTGTCCCCTTCCCTGTGCATACTTTTCCTTCGCATCCAAGCCTGAATTTTTGACAATGTAAATGCTTTTGCTTGTTTGAAGGGAATTGTTTTGGATCCATTCTTTTTGTCAAGATGTGAAAATGCAGAGTTTAATTTGACAATTACAACAATAAATTGTTTCGATCAGCGCGATTCAATTTATTTATTTCAATCTTTAGGCTTGAAATTGTTCTGGTGATCCATTCAGGAGAACACAGTGTTCGAGTCGTTTGCAGTGAATTAATGCATTTAGAAAACTACACCCAGCCAAATGCCCCAGGTATGATGTCATCTGCTTAGTAAAAGGTGATAAAAAAATCGTGCTAGGGTATGCACGTAATATTTCAGGAGTATAAATCTTGAGACCATCATCAAAAGAAAAGTAAAGTTAGGACAACTGCTGGAACAAGTCCCAATCTCGATGTTTAAAAATGTAAGTGTAAAGTATTAGATGTCATTTCAGGGCTACTGAGAAAAATTTCCTTATGCCTTTTTTTTTTTTAATAATATCACATGAGTTGATTCACTTAAATACACTGGGTGAGGCCATGATTACCCAGTCTCCTGAACTAGAGGCTCCCGATACACGTGATTGAATTGTGGCACGTTGTCTTTGAGGTCGACTAGTAAACGCTGGATTTTCAGATATCCAAACTGAAATAAGAGGCGATCGAAACGACCGTTGGTTTTCGTTTTTTGGAAATGGACCGTTTAACTGCACAAAGTTCGGCTTCTTAGACCCACCAGTATTTCACCCCTAAACGAGTTGGACCTTGAGTAATGTACTTATTTAGTGCGAACAGAAATGTTTTTTTTTTTCAAGCTTTGTCAATTATTTTGTTTTTGATCTTTTTATCCATAGCTTTCTAACAATATGAATTTGTTTGTTTCCTTTCTTTGTTTTTTTGTCCTTAGGCGCCCTCTTGAAAGCTTGTTTTTGTTTACTCGATATCGTAACTCTTCCCTCGAGCGAAAAATTATCCGAACAGTTGAACAGAAAATATCAAGCCGGCTTTGAGCTTCACACCTGGTCGACCGCTCCTCAAGGAAGTGGCCTGGGCACAAGTAGTATTTTGGCAGGAGTTATCCTGGCTGCGCTTTTACGCGTAACTGACCGCACAGCCAGCATGGATTCACTGATTCACGCCGTGATGATCGTGGAACAGATGTTAACTACGGGCGGCGGCTGGCAAGACAATGTAGGGGGACTAATACCAGGTTTCAAAATCGCTCGGTCTCAGGCTTCCCTACCTTTAAAAGTAGAAACGGAAAAAGTGGAGCTTAGTGGGAAGACCGTCGATGAAATCACAAAAAGATTGGTTTGTTTTTACTCAGGGAGGACACGGCTCGCCAAGAACTTGTTACAGGTAAGGAAGAGGTAACGGCCAATCAGAGGAAAGGCAACTATCATGAGGAGCTGATGAGAATTCACAGTTAAAAAAAAAGCAAACTGAAGCGCGGGAAAACGCAAATGGCCGGTCGCGACTGGTTGTAGTTTTGAATTTGATTGGTTGGGAGGAGTGCACATTTTCTATGCCAATCAGAGAGCAAATTGGAGCACTCCAATATTTAAGATCTCTCAATTTTTTTCTTTTTTTTTTAACTAACATTTTTCCCTTGAAAGAATGTCGTCAGGAACTGGTACGCAAGATTTTCACAGATTACAAACAACGCCAGAAACTTGATAAACAACGCGGAGGAGGCTGCAAAAGCGTTGAGGGAAGGTAGGTTTCTTTCATCCCCCTTGCTTCTGAAGTAATTTTGCTACAGGTCAGACTACGCCATCTCCCAAAGTCAAGAATAGCTGTGATAACTAGTTGTAGATCCCTTGCTATGGCCTTATTATGCTCTTTCACTGTTAATTTTTTGTCAATTTCCTCGAAGGGAACATCGAGAAGTTTGGCGCCTGCTGGACATGTTATCGACACCAAAAAGCACTTATGGCACCTGGTGAGTCCGAGTAATGGCTGGATAGTTTTGAAAAAGTTTTTCTACAAACCTCTCCGGCTATGTGTTTGTATTTGTCCTGCTCAGCTGCATGGTTGTGACGTTATTTAGAAGGTACATTTACAGTGTGGGCCTGTGAAGATGCAATATTTCTTACCTCTTATAGCTTTTTCATGTCTCTAAATAATCATGTTGCAGAGAAAATTATAGATCAGTGTTAAATCATTGCGTGGCTAAACATTCAAACTTGTCGGAATACCTGTACTCATCCAGTCTTTGTTTTAATGGCTTAGTTGTATTGATTACTGCGTAGGTTCTGAACCAAAGGCAATCAAGGACTTACTAGAAGCAGTTGAACCCTTGAGCTATGGTATGTTGAAATTTCAGTGTGATTTTAATCTTCATTATCATAAAAATTACAATTTTCTCGATTGTGATTGGTTTTAAAAAACTCTTATTTTCCACTAATTCACTCGTCAATTTGTTATCGGACAGTTTTTTATCGGATAGTTCAATAAGCAAATCACATTCAAAGTTGTAGTTGATATCGACCAATCACAAACTTTGTCAGTCTTTTAATGCAAGTTTTCCCTTTTCTTTCATAACTTGGCCATTCTTCTTTTCTCGGAAATTGTAATTTTATGATTAATTGGTAATAAGACTTCGTTTCGTCCAATTCGGTTTGCAATCATACTCGTGATAAACAAATTGGAGTCCCGCCGTGTGGTTGTCCGATCTTGTTATCACTCGTATGATTAAAGACCGAATTGTTCAGTTATTTGCCTAAACTGTTGTTCTTCCCTTTCAGGGCAAGCAATGTCCGGAGCAGGAGGGGGTGGATTTATTTTTGTTCTCACCAAGGAACCGAACATGGTGGATAAAGTCAAAGCTGTCATCAAGAAAATGAAGGTTGGATCTTGTTTCTGTGCCTCTATCGCACAAGTTGAATTTACTAATATCCTTTTCCAATTTCCGATTGGACTCTAGACGGGAGAAAGCGTATTGTAAAGGAGATCAAAACCATTGTCATCTCTTGCATTTTTCAAGTTTCTGTCACATAAGTCTGGTTACATTTTTTCCTTTTAATTTGGGTCGTTAGTTTAATGATTATTTTGTGGTAAACGTCTTTTAGCCTTCCGACGAGACTGTCGCTTTCTATGACGTGAGCGTAGACTGGGAAGGACTGACCTTGAGAGTAGAAGAACCCTCACAGTGAACCATGGGAAGACGACTTTCGGAGCACCAAAGGAATGGTGGGAAGAGAAATCAATCAGATTTGGATTAAATGAGCATTGAATACAGCTCTATAGATTATGAAAGATTGCGATCTAACAGCTAGCACAGGACATGTAGGAAAGATATACTAGTGTCGTCTTAAGGGGGTTGGCATAGCCTTGTGCAGTGTTATGGTTTTGACAACTTTTCCTGCTTTCATTAATGGTTGACGAGGACTGATCTCTGGAACGAAGTCCGGAATGTGGTCCGAATGTGCGCTGTGGATCGTGGACTGTTGATTTTGAACTGAGGACTTGTGCGAGATAGAAGTTTTTGAGCTATTTGTTAGGAAAAATATATTTTAAAAGATTCAAACTAAACGTTTTTGACATCATCAGGGCAGGGGCTCCTGATCAGGGTAAATTCTTGTAACAGCGCTGACAGGAAAAACTGAACATGTGATAAAACTCGCACAGCATTTCATTGAATCGTTGTGGAAAACGAAGCCTAACATTTTTGTGACGTTACATAATAAGTAGCGATGCGTTGACTGTGCTCCTAGGTAGAATACCTTGGTAATTTGAGATAAACGTTCAATGAAGATCTAAAGAAAACTACGGTGGTAACGAACGAAGCTCCGATAAATGTAAAGAGAATAATTCTCAATAAATTCAATCAAACGAATTCGAACTGTCTGTAGTGCAGTGTCTGTCGCCTTTGCATGCACGAGAGTAACTATGCTAGCCGCGCGTGTAGCTGCACCCCTTCCCCGCCAAGGAGTTTCTCCCTGGCGGGGGAGGATACAGCTATACTTACGCTATTCCGAAGCCTTTCGAAAACAAAGACGCAGAGGGTGCGAAACTAGTCGGCCGTCTGAAATTTCATAGTCCCTGATTGAGACAATTGGCGAGGCAGTACGCAGTCTATCTTAGTAAGAGTGGAAATTTAGTCACCTCCAGTAGCCAACCGTTGTTTAATCTCGTCACGCAATGCGCCCTTTCCACACTAGTCGATTGGGGAGAGAACGTGTTGCGTGACGAGAACAACAACGGTAAAGGAGACTCCCAGTAGCGTCAGTAGCACTGTCCTTTGTATTTTCGTAGAATTTTGTAATACCACGAGCTATCATACTGTTTTCCAGTTGAACGCTGGAGCTATGAATAATGTAAACAAGCAAAGAGCCACCAGTTCAAAGTACGCTTTGTGATACGTGTAACTTGAGAGCCAATAGTTAGTGGGCATAGTTACTCTTGCCAAGGAATCACCTTTGAACATCGTTTAGAATTTAGCTTTTATGATTATGGCCGGCGCCAAATTTTGGCTTAAATTGGAATTTCCTAACTCGCCACGAAATAATTGCATTTCGACGTGTATCACCTGTTTGGGTTTCGCGCTAAATCTGTATGAGCCGGTTTGTATGTCTAAGAGAAACCTTGAATACAACAACAAAGTCGGGACGGTGAATTGTGAAGCGAACATATCCTCATAACCTCACGACTCTGGCTAAGTACTCTACTTCTTCAGCGATCTATACATTCAACCATGGAGCAAATCACTTCGAAGCCGTTTGTTTACCACAACCGTGATAGTTTAGACGAAGCTTTCCAGTGCTTGGCTGAATTTCGTGACAACGGGCTTCTCTGTGATGTCCTATTATGCGTGGAAAATAGAGAAATTCCCGCTCATCGGGTGATCCTGGCGGCCTCCAGTGCGTATTTTAAAGCCATGTTTCTTGGAAATCTCTCGGAGAGCAAACAGCATCGTGTTGCGCTCTACGAGATCGACGCATCGGCGATCGAAATGCTGGTAGAGTTTATTTACACTGGTGTGTTAAAAATAGAAAAATGTAACGTGCATTCACTGTTATATGCATCAGCTGTTCTCCAGTTTGAGAAGGTTAGAAAAGCTTGCTGTGAATTTCTTCTCAGAGCCTTAAATATCTACAACTGCTTGGGTATTCGATCACTTGCAGAAACTCTCTCTTGTCACGAACTTTTTGCGACAGCTCATCAATTTGTTGTTGATCACTTTGGAGACGTGGCAAAACACGACGAGTTCCTGAAACAGCCCTTTGAATCCTTAAAGTGTTTGTTAGATAGCAGGTTTCTTAATGCGTCAAGCGAAGACGAAGTGTTCAGCGGTGTTTTGAAATGGCTTAACTTCTCTCCAGTAAAGCGCCGAACATTCGCCTCCTCACTAATTAATCAATGCTGTTTGATGAAGATTTCGCCTGACTTTCTAAGGCGAATCCTAAGAGATTCCATTGTGGAAGCCAGTTGTGAATGCCGGAAGCTTATTTTGAAAGCGCTAGAGACTGTGCAGTCTTCAAATTTACAAGATGTTTATGAATTTCCAGGAATTTCACACCGTTCATTGCGAACTGGCCATGAAGTCATGCTGGCGATTGGAGGAGAATCAGACGGCATGACGTTAGACAGCTGTCAATGCTTCAATCCCAAGTGCAACAGCTGGACATGGGAAATCTCAGGGAGGTGTGGTGATCCCATGCCATTGGCAAACATTAATGATGGGCGCACTTTCATGGGCGTGACATCAAGTGGACACCATACCTATGTAGTTGGCGGCCATTCTTCCTGGAATATATTAGATTCAGTAGAACATTATGAATGGCCAGGAAATAAGTGGTGTCACTTATCACCACTGCACATGGAACGAATGGGAGCTAGTGCTGTCCTTCTAGATGCCCACCCTGTCATTCTAGGAGGTTATAACAGAACATCAGGGTATCTGTCATCTGTCGAGATGTATGACCCTCTGATTGACAACTGGACATTAGTTTCATCAATGAGATCAAGAAGGAGTTATCTTGGTGCTGTGGCAATAGGAAAAACAGTGTATGCCATTGGAGGATTTGGTGGAGAGTGTGGAAATCTCTCAAATGATTGGTTAATGTCAGTTGAGAAATTGGACTCTCAGAGTGGAGAATGGCTGTCTGTAACAATCATGTCACAACCAAGAGCTTATTTTGGTGCAGTCCAGAAGGAAGGTATGGTGTAATAACTAGATGTATTTCAATGATGTCTTCTATGATTTCTCGTTTCATCAAAATCATTACAATTTCCTCAAACGTGATTGGTGCATTAGCTGCTTTATTTTTCACTAATCATTCTGTAGAGCTGTAATTGGACAGTTGGCTGTAATCGGACACCTATAATTGGACAGTTGAAGTGGCCAATCTTTCTAAGTCCACTCAAACAAATCCACCAGTCACAGAATTAATCACAATAACCATACCAACAACTATTTATCCTAAAAAATTGAGGAATTTCCAGAATGGAGAATTTTTTTACTTAAAGATATTGTCTTTACCAAAGATATTTGACCTAAATGTATTTGTTGTTTTTGGAAATTGTAGCAGTTTTGATTAATTGGTAACAGGACTTCTTGTTGTCCAATTCTGTCTGTAATCATATTCGTGATTGACAAATTGGACTCCCGCTTCGCAGTTGTCCCATTTTGTTAATCACTTGTATGATTACAGTCTAAATTGGACTCCACTTGTTCCTATTACCAGTATAAAAAATTATCTAATACTTGGCAAGAAGGTCGATAATGCCTTTCAATTTTGTTTTTAATTTACTATTTGCCACATTTATTTTTTTATCCTGATACTTAAAAAAAGGGGCAAAATATGAAAGCAAGAGTGCAATCTCACATTAACCGACAAAATCCTAAACCTAGAGGAGGACAACATCCCACCGTATATTTAGGCATGGGCCAATAAACAAAACCCCTTACCCACTCCTCTGACTTCACCTTGTATACATGCTTACCTACCCACTCTAAATATACCTTGCTTGCATATGATTCTATTTAGTACACTGTATCTGTATTGTAGATTAACATTTATTTCCCTGAACATGTAAATGGATTCAGAGTTGTTCACAAGCAGTAATGACAATTCTAATGATGTTTTTTTCAGGTGTGGTGTATGTGATTGGAGGTTACAACCAGTCATGGTTAAATACAGCTGAAAGGTTTGATCCACGAGAAGGGAGATGGTACAATATTCCAGCCATGAAATCACCCAGAAGTAGTGCAGGTGCAAGTGTATTGGGAAATAATCTGTATATTGCTGGGGGATTTAATGGAATGAAAAATTTGAATACAGTTGAGTGTTTTGACACAAGGGCTGGGAAATGGATGGATGCACCTTCTATGCAAAATACTAGGTATGGAATGGCACTAACTACTTTACAGATATGAACTCATTTCAAAAATCGTAGTCTGTAAGGAAATCACTTCTACTGTAATTCAAGAGACCTTCTGTTTGAGCAAACTAAATTGTAAAATATGTCTGTAATGCTGTAAATATATGTCTGTTATGCTGTAACAACCGTCAGAGTATTTGTCTCAAAGATCTAGATGTGAAAGTAAAATTAGAAACTGAAGCCTAATATTCTTTTGTTTTTACATACTTTCCTTTTAAACAAATTGAAAATATAATTTTTAGAGAAGTTTTGATATGTTTTGGGTTGAATTTGTAACATATTTCTAAGGAAACGAGAGAATCCATTCTATTTGGTGATGTGAATGATGGAGGCAGGGTTTATTTCAGAGCGTGACTTTTCAGAATTTTTGCAATTTGAAAAGAAATGCAGCATAAAATTTATGACATAACTTCAAGTGGGGCGCAGAAAAATTTGCACTTGGATAAGTACTATTTTAATACTGTATTTTTTAAATCATGTTTTCCAAATATAATTGACAACAAAATTGATATGAGAGCTGCTGTATACAGTAGTCTCTTACTGTCTCAGTTCCCTTTGTTTTCTTTGTTGTATCACTGAGTATACTCCACAAGAATGATGAAACACTTTTTGGGTCACCCTTTCTAGAAATTGGGCCCCTTGGAATTAAAGAATGGGACTAACTAGGCCATCTTTGACTAATTTCAAAAGTAAACACTCGATGTGAAATTGCATAATTTTGTTGACTATGGATATACAGAATCAAAGATTGGTCTCCATTAATAGAAAGATAAAATTGAGATAAGGTATATGTATATATTTTGTTTTGTTGGGAAATGATAATACAAAGTTAACAATCTGCTGCACTGGTTCATAGAGTTATTGTAAACATCAAATACATTTTTTTCTGCAGATATTCTTTTTTAAGGTATTTTATTGAAACAACATAATTATTAAGTATTTAAAGCATAGTTTGTTTGTCCTCCTAAAATGTAACACAATACCAAGTTTCTAAATCAAAATAAAGAATCTTAATAACTATCCCTGAATTTGTGATTTTTTTGCCTACAATTATTTACCATTATATTTTTACTGGATATATATTTTTGGCTTGAGCAGCAAAAGAATGCCATATTGGCAATTTAGATAATTTCCTTTGCTATTATAGCATTGCAGATTACTGTCTCTTACACCAAAACAAAAAAAAAGCTAAAACCTAAAATTTGGAAAAACCCTGTTTAAAAACTACTGAATATCCTGATATGAATACATTTAAATTATATCAATTTCAAGCCTCTTGGTGCAGAATGTATCTTATTACTGCACCTTTAAAATTTACATGCAAACTACAGAGATGATGATCCAACCCAACTAAAAGCATATTTTTCTTTCATTAACCTCACATTCACCCATTCATAGTTGAAATGTCTCTAAGACTCTTATTTTTCACCAAATAATCTACTGCCACTTCAAATATAAATATACAAAACAAATTTATCCATGCATAAACAAAATGCCAGTCATGCAAGTATCAGACTGAGTTTAAAGAGAAAAACTGTCTTTGTCTCTATACACTAGTTATTAATTAAAAATAGGAAAGTAGGGATTTAACATTTTTCTCACTTTTGGCTGTTTAGTGCTGTCATTTATACAGTTCTTGTAAAGTGACACAAATAAAAATAACTGATCCTTCAGTTCTTACAGTTCTTGTAAAGTGACATAAATAAAAATAAAAATAAACAGATCCTTAAATAACTGATCCTTCAAACAGGCAAAATACAGTAGGACAAAATTTTTTTCTTTGATTACTTTTGCAGAATTTTTCTTTGGGTCCCTTCAAATAATCTTAATTAACCAGGCAAACACAGATCAGAGAATTTGCCTCCCAAGTCTTTCCTTTCTAGAAGTTGTGATAGGATCTTAGGAAAGGCAAGCTACATGTAGCCCAGCTGACAAGATCTTAATTTTTGTAACAGCATCTCTTTTACCAAGCTAGAAATTCCCTAGCTAATTAGAACAACCTTGTTGCTGGGCTCAAATGAAGAGGCCTGTACAAAGATTATTAGCCTATAAGGATCACCTCTCTCCAAGCTTAGTCTGTTGAGCAAGAAGAAAGAGATGAGGGTGCTGCATGAAAAGTTGGGGCAAGAGTAACACATTAGTGCTTTTCTTGTGGGTTTACATGTATTGTGTTTTTTGGTTCCCTCAAGCGACTAAGCTCACAAAGAGGCACACCTCACAGTCCAATGTAAGAAATAATTCACCATCATCTGTATGACAGAATCTGGACACAGTGGCCATAATATGATGATACAGCTAACTTCTTTCCTTTCAGTAGATCAATTCCGACAGGTGTCTTCTTTGTTTCAAAATTTACAACATACGTACCATCCAGTTTAAATACATGGACACAGTTGTTTTCACTGTCACAGACCAGAATGCAATCATTTGCTCTATCCACTGCAATTCCTCTTGGGCACCTAAATTCACCAGTTCCAGGTCCAACCCTTCCAAACTGTCGAACATAAACACCATTGCGATCAAATACTTTTACACAGTTGTTACCTTTATCCGATGTGTAGAACTCTTCCTTGTGGTAGACAGTGCCCAACGGCGTGTCAAAGCCTTCAGGGCCATGCCCACCAAACTGATGAACAAATGTTCCATCCAGCAAAAATATCTGAACACGATTGTTCTCTGTATCTGTGACAATCACATTGTCATTTTCATCAACTGCAATACCCTCTGCCCATCCAAATTCTCCCTGATTGAAGCCTTTCTTGCCAAAAGTTGCAAGGAAATGGCCACTTTTGTCAAACACTTGTACTCTAAAATTCCTGCTGTCCATAACAAGGATTTTGTTACTTCTGGTGTATGCTATCCCAGTTGGACCCAAAAATTGACCCTCGCCATCCCCTTTTTTGCCAAATGTGAACAAGAACTTTCCTGTTTCATCAAATACTTCCACTCTGTTGTTAAAATAATCAGCCACAGCCAGTTCTCCATGTGCATTTGAAGCAATGCCCCCAGGATTTTTGAACTTACCCCTCCTGGAACCCTTCCGTCCAATTTTCTTAATGACCTTACCGATAGAGCTGATGTCAGAGACACCTAAGGGGCTGGTAGGAATTTTATCACTCATTTTTCTCCGCACCACACCAATGCATTGTTTTTCGAGGTTGATTTGTAACTCGTGGTTTGGGTGAAACTCTAGCTGCTCCTTACATTTCTGTTTAAGCTCTCCAGCATCTTCAAAATTCATCTGGCTTACTTCTTTCAGTTGTTGGGTGAGAACATCTGCCATCTCAGTCAATTCGTCAACATCTCCTTTCAGAAGAATTCCTTCAGCTGTCTCAAGACAAGCGGAAGAACTTGCTAGTAAACTGCTCAAGTTCTGTCTCTGATTCTGTAGCATCTTGTGCTTCTTCCCGTAAAAATCTTCAATATCCTCGCAAAGACTGCTCTCCTGGTTTCGAACCATCTCTACCACAATGTTGGCGGTTAAATGAATATCTTCTTTGGCTTTCTTCCAATCAGTTTCTAAGATATCTAAAGCTTGGTCTAGAATTGTTATCCTTGTCTGCATTTCGTTGATTACGGGCTTGCTATTGTCCACGGATCTCTGAATTTCCAATCGTTGTTGTCTGCCTGGAGTTATCTCCAAGAATTTTAGTAGGACATTGTTTGTTGGAAGATCATTTACACCTCCGGGAGGAACTTGTGAAACTCTCCTACATGTCGGGCAACGGATAATTTCAGGATTCGTACGAGCCATGTTCTCCAGGCAAGCTTTGCAGACATTATGAGCACAGCTAGGAAGACATTTTGGTTCTTTGAGTTCTTCCAGACAAACAGGACAAGACAATTCTTCATTGAAGACTCGAGTGAGACGTGCTGAAACACTAGTTGCCGACGCAGCCGCTGCCATTTTGACAAAGTCCTTCCTTGAGTTAAAACAAGAGAGCACAAAGAAGAATTATGATCACGGCTGATGACAAACTGGCGATTTCGATTGAGCTTCTTAGCATTATCAAAAGGTCACTTATGCCACAACTGATCTACATCACTCAACGACACTCAGCAGATGTAACGGAAGCCGGTATAATCTTATGATGGAGGAGGAATGAGTTCTAGTTGTTGGAACGCCTGGTCGAAAATGGGAACAGGGATACCAACCTACCAAAACTACCAAACTACCAAGCTACCAAACTACCAAACTACGCTAATGCAAGAAGTAAACCTGCTAAGTCGTTTACTGATTTCGAGGTTTGCTTTCTCCTAAAATGATTAGGTGCTGAGAGGATCGTTAGCTACTAAAACGAAAAGTCCTATTAATGGGCAGAAATCGGTGGACACATGTCGTAATGTACTGTTGCTGATTTATTTTTATTTTTAATCAAGCTTATGAATCTACCATCAACATTGATTTTTAAGGCACGATTCCAGTCAAAGGCAAGTCAGAGTGGAGCTTCTTATTCCAAACGTTGAAGCTTTCGCCTGTAAGCTACGCAGATATCTGTAACATGCACTTCAAAAAACAAAACAAAACAAAACGAAACAAAATATAGATTCTGCAACTGATTTTCAAGTTTGATATTCGGTTAGTAAGCATCTAAATTAATAAAAACTTACAGTATTTTGACTTGTTTGTTTTTGTATTCCCGTGTTTTACTCGGTCGGAGCTTTTGTATTCATGCGCCATATTTTCGATTTTACTGGGAACCGAGGTCCAACAAATGAAATGTGTTTTATTCTTACACGATACAGTTGCGACGACTCTTTCGACCATCTGGAACAACAACGAAAAAAGAGCATGGCAAACAAGTCCGTAACAGCTAGTAAATTGAATATGGATAAATAAAACCCCGGTGACCCTACCCTTGAGACTGATAAGTTGTGCTCTTGAGCAAATATTTTAGTCCATCAGATTTCTAGCGTGTATCTCCTTAAAGGAATTGATCCTACATATCAGTTATAAGCCATAACTTCTTTCTCGCTTTTCCAGCTTGACCTGCGGTGGATGTTACACGCATTATATGCAAAAACATCCTTGTTCACCGTCGTGAAACGAACTCGGTATTTACTACTATAGATTCCCACAAAATTTTAATACAATGTTAGAAGAAGACAGTTCTTGTAGAGTGAAATAATCTACTCCGATTGTACAGAAGTAAATTGGTGTTCAATTTTCCACAAATCATGTTGTCGTTACAGTTTTTACTCTGTTCTCTGAGAGAGATTATATTTCTTTCCCGGTTCTTCCTTTGCACAGCTGCGTTTCACGTCGAGAGTTGCTCAGTTTTCACAGCTAAGATCAACTTTTCATTAACCCTATCACCCGTGCACCACTCACAAGTTGGGACAGAAAATGCTATTTGTTTGCATGCTGTCAGTCAGTTAACTTTCCCTGGTCAGTAAGTTTACTTTTGATTGGCAAAAATCAAACCGTAATAACCTCCGTTCAGTTGCGCTACAAGGCTCCGGGATAATAATTGAACGAGGATTCTTTTCCTCTTTTGTATCATTGCGAAGCACAATGAATGTTTAATTCGTATCTTTGATTGAAGTCCCTCGTTCAAACTTTGCCACTTGTTATAAATCCTGTATTCTAGTTTTAAATTTTCCTAAACGAAATAAGAAAATAAAAGATTAGCAGCTCCAGTTTTTCTAAGTATGGAAATTTATCCAAATTTAATTAATAAACCATGAAGCTGGCATAAATGTTGACTCTGAGAATGACTTTTCTTTTAGGAGCATGATTTGCCATAGAAAGAGCTGAGTGCCATTCACTGACAGTCGTCTTCCGATGACTGAGATTAATGAATAATTAAAAAATATTCGCTGGATTGTTTTACTTTCCTCTTCACAAGCAGCTGGCCATAATTTGTTTGTCCCATCAACCGAGGCTCATTTTGTCCTATTTGTGACGACCCGGCTTGCAGGATCGCAGGCTTAAATTTAAGTACTCACCCACTTTTGGGAAAAATATTGTCATTTTCACAGAGAAAGGCTTTTCTATAAATTTACAAGTCGTGTAGCTGGCTGAGAAGCGAGGAAATGGTTAGAAAGGAGAGAGTTAGGCCGTTTTGCCAAGCGCTCTTAAAGGTAACGCTAAATCGCTCAATTACATCAACGCTCGATATTTCACTTCTGAAATATATCCTTTTATTTAGCTTTGTTTTTACGATTTTTTATTCTCTACTTCTCTTACAGCTTCAAGGAGTTCTCCTTTTGCTGTATTTGAGAACAGGTACGGCTATTATTATGCAGAACAGAGTATTTTTCAGAACGCACAAACTCATTTTTGACGACCGCAAGCAGCGACTTATTTGAAAAATTTCGTCAGCAAGCAGAAGCGTTTCGTTCGGAAAGGAAGGCTGCAAATCGTATAAATAGAGCAAAATTATACTCTGTGTTTTAGCCGCAGATAACTTTGGTTTTTATCTTTAATTTCCACTTTTAGCATCCGATGATATAAATTGTATTAGCCAGCAGGGCTTTCATATTAACTATACCGTGAAGGCGGCAAGCAGCTTAATTTCGTTCACTTTTATTCAAAGTGAGCGAACTGGCTGTGACAGGAGGTGGGATTCATATCTTAAAGATTAGCTTTTTCCCCATTTTCGCTCTTTTGCAGAGTTAATTTTGACCAGAAATTATTGCAATTTAAGTCACCAGTGAAATTTCAGCTAGGGATGAAATGTAACATTATTGGGAGAATAACCCGGCAAACGCGTGTATGATATACATTAATTTAGATGAAGGAACTGCTCAGTGCACCAGAATTCTACGCCTGTGAAACGCTCCTTTCATAAAGTCTTATCGACTCTTTCAATTTATTCATAGAACAGTCGAAATGCCTTCTGTGTTGATGTTCTTTAAAGTCAAATCACCGTAGCACCGAAATAAGCGAAATGTCGCCTGCAGTTGAATTTTGTCTACTGCCCTAAATTCTCGAAAGAAACACAATCAAATACATATGTTTCCCCTTTTTTTACTTGAATCTTTTCGCTTTCCGAAATTTTAAAGGTTCAATATGTTGTCACGCGATATCTCATGCAAGATTTAGTTCAAGAGCCTGTAACAAATGTCGCTAGGAAATTTGGCGCTGTCCAACATCGAAAACTCGAAGTGACGGTAAATCTTCTCTATTGATTCACCTTGAGCTGAAAGAAATATGCGTATTTCCTAAAGTTTCCGATCGTTTTAATCATAGAAATATATGAGACTATTTTTCCAAAACCCTATACAAATTCTCTTTCTCTTGGATAGTATCAGAGCGCATTAAACTCAGCACAAAAACAGTTTTCCGATATTTCTGATAATCTTCATAAATGAATTTAAAATTTTGAAACTGATCGTGACAAATAAACGGGCCTCGGTTTTACAAGAACAATACGTTTTTGGAAAATTGTAGAGACATATACCGGTGTCATTTAAGTTTAAAATCTGCTCTCTGAGATAGAAGAAGACGCCGAGAGGTGATTGTTTGAGCTAAAATCAGGAACGAAATAAAAGAAAATATATTGCTTACTTTAAAATGCAAATTAATATAGTCAGCTATATAATTATATTTTTTTTCGATTTCTCCTCAGTTTCTTTAAAGTTTATGAATTCGTCGATTGAGAAATAATTAGATAGTAGAGAAGACTTAGGATACTTGTGAGCGAAATCTACCCAAAACTATAACTGAGTCAACGCTTCTCGCCTAAAAGTTAAGTAGTGCGGATGTATATTGCTTGATTTGAAAAGTGATGAATATCCATATTTGCAAAATTTGAACAAGATGAATTCATTTTAACTGCTTCGATGCGGCGTGCAACTGTCTATTTTGAATTCACGTCAGCATTCAATTTTAATTGCTATGTTTTGGAGCAGCTATCTACCACCAATTGGAGATAACCAAAATAAATTTGCCGGAATAGTGCAGTCTTCGTTTTGTTGCCTTAAGTTTATAATATGCAAGTTTGTCAATCATAGTGCTCATATGACACGCTACCCTAAGTGTATTTGACTCGACTTATGAAGCGGAGGGAGGAGATTTTCCGTCTGATCTTCTCTACACTGATGGAAAAATTGGACTGTGACCAGTTTAACTGGGGTCGAAAAGATATATTGCACTGACTTATCGATCATATTCCAAATTTCGCTCCCCAGTTTTACTATAGTCTCATTTTTACGATCACTGCTAAGTGAGTTAAGCTTTGAGACGGGTAAGGATATTTTAGGCTTTGACTTCCAGTGAACGTAAAAGAAAAAATAAGCGTCTTTAATCGCACGAACTGAGCCAGGCAGCTGTTCTAAAAAGAAAATCATGGACAGTAAATTGCTTGTAATTCTTTTGCTATCATCAACGTATGTGAACTTGACACTTTTGAATGACTAAAGAAAACAACAGCGACAACAAAAAAATGTTTGTCGGCTACCGTTGACGCATGAATATCTTCTTGTGACACAATTTCAAAGATCTTTGACGTGAAAATGACCGGACTTGAAACGAAATTAGTATATTCAAAGTAATATAGCTCTTTGCTTGCTGGTGATCGCTGGCAGAAGTTGTGCAAAGTGTAACATTTAGCAAACTTTTGCTTATTTTTCCCTCCGGTGGCTTCACTTTAATTTGGCACCCAATGCGGTATTTTAATTAAATGGTTGTTGTTTTTTTTTTTTCGGTGAAGCTACGTTTTATTGGCTGCCTTGACGAGGTAGCCTCTTTTAAGTAAATAAAATTGAAGTGGAAAATTAAAGCAGATAAAAACAGTATGAAATCAAGGAACTCTCGAGAAAAAGGCAAGTTTGAGTTCTCTGAAGAAAAGTCAAGGGAATTCTGTAAACGTAGTGACAAGCCTTTTCGCTCGCTGTCCAATGATAAATCCAGCCATTGTCCATGCTGACACCCGGTATCTGTCTGTGCGTTAATTTTGCTGCCATGTCTCTATAAAGTGTTGATAGCGCGAGGCATGGGAGGAGCAATGGGATCTGTTAATGAAAAATAATGACTCAAAACTTTTATTGTTGCGCAAGAGCTGTCATCGTCTAAACAGTGTAGTGGGCTTAAAAACACGTTTTAGATCTGGAGCGTACGAGCGAACATAGTCTCCTGGGACAATTATGAGTCGGTAGACTCATTCGTGCATTAAATCATGTCACTCTGACTAAATGAAAACTCACCGGTGTAAATGAAAAATATCACCAATACTAATTTATGATACGTAAAAGGGAACATTTTCGACTACTAATTTGAATTTGGGCGGAAAACAACAAAGCTTGAGTTCTTTATGGAGCAGTTTCGAGCACTGTAAAGTGACGATCAGTCAGGGCACAGGTAGCCCAAACTCCAGCAGTGAGATGATCTTCTTGCGAAGTAGGAGTCATGGCGAAATTTTAAGAGTTTGTCGGCGAATATTTACGACCGCTCTAAGGAATAAAAAAATACAGTCAAATTCTCAATAAAAATACCTCACCTTACTTTAACAGTGCATTGCTTATTATCTGAACGCTTACTATGTTGAAAAGAACCCATAATAGCGAGTTATCCATTTTTAGGGCTTCTCTTATGTGGTAAACCTAGAAATGGATAACTCGCAAGAATTGCACTATGAAAGAAAGGTGAGGTATTTTTATTGAAAATTTGACTGTATTTTTTTATTCCTAAAAGCGGTCGTAACTATTCTCATTCAAACTCCCATAATTTCGCCATGAGTGTTACTTCGCAGGATGATCATCTCACGGCTGGAGCTTGGGCTGCCTGTGGTCAGGGTTGAATAAAATATCAAAGAAAAGCGTAAACGTGAAAATTAAAAGAAAATGGAACCTTTTTCCCGAAAACTATTAAACACGAAATACTGCAATATTCAAAAAAATAAAATTGGTTGTTCCATTGCACACCTTATTTTGTCGGGAAAATTTCCGACAAAGGAAACAGATCACATACCTATTGCCCTCGATGAAGTCAAAAATGCAGGATTGCCGGACATCTTTGAAAACACCGTCTTGGAACTTCAATGTCGAAGAATACCGAAGAACTGATCAGGGAAATCTTATTTGTATGTGTTTATTTAAGAGAATCGCGAAAGAGGAACTGGTTATTTTTTAATTTCTGTAACTTTTTGATGTTTTTAAACCGGATTAAAACCATCAGTTGTAACTAGACACAGAATGAAACCATGTTTTCTACTAACCATTTTTAGCAGCTCTGTTATCGGGTAATTTTGTTCAGTAGTAGTAACTTTATGACGTGATGTAATTATACGTGAGTAAGAACATTGAGAAGTTTATAATTTCGTGATCAGCATACGCTGTCAAACGATGCCTTGCCAACCAGCCTTGCCAATACTTATTTGTTTTTGCCTAAGTACAAACTGTTATTCAAGTGTGCGTAGAGCATGAAAACAAACAACAATAATCTAAGCTGGCAGCGTCACTGCTGCCCTCGTTGGTGTAAATATCCCCTCGATTGTTTGTCTTAATGCAATAATTTCCCCATATTATAACTCTGTATTTAAAGCTGTTTTCGAATGCGATAAGGTTTCAATGCAGTAAGTAAAAATATACCGAATGTTTTTTTTCGAAAAATTTTATCGTGAGGTCTTATTAAGTTTTTTATCGCATGTCACTCACTTTTGATTCTTTTATTATTTTGCTGGCATTCTCAGTGAAAATGCGAAATATCGCCAGCTGAATGCGTGATTTTAATGAAATGAATTTGTTGCGAAATTTTTTGCTTTGAATTAGGCAACATCAGAATGAACGATATGTTGTGCTGTTCAAGCGAATAGCCGTCCTCTGCTCAGTTTAAACTTTTTCGCGTTGTTTTACAGATGTTTGATCGAAGCACGTTCAGTACGTGCTCAGATACCTAATACTCCTGTCACAAATCCATTACCTTTGTCAATAATTTGCGAACACCTGTCATGAATTGACAAATTGTATTATAGAAAAGCCGAATTTACACGGAAAGCGTACTCCGACATCCGTCAGAAGGAGGTCATCACGGGTAGATTTCCGATTACGAAATCCGAGCTCGCCCGATGTTGTCTTCGTGATGAAGGCCCTATTTAGCATATTAGACCAGCAAAACAGAGTAGAAACGAACACGTGCTTCGTTTTCGCTCATGACTTCGTATTAGCGTCAAGATATTTGCATTTTTTTCCGTTGCTTACCTATATTACAGACTCCAAAAAATTGTTGCGATGCCTCCTTTTCACGGATGGCCGATTACAACTACAACATAGTGACACCTCCACGAAATCTGTCGAAAGGAGGATGTTAAAACACCAGAGGTCATCTCGGGTAGATTTCTGATGACGAAATCCGAGCTCGCCCGATGTTGTCATGAAGGCCCTATTTCGCATTTTAGAGCCGCAAAATAGAGTAGAAAGGAACAATTACTTCGTTTTCGCTCATGACTTTGTATTAGCGTTAAGATATTTGCATTTTTTTCCGTTGCTAACCTATATGACAGATTCCACAAAATACATTTGACGCCTCCTTTTCACGGATGGCCGATCACAACTACAACGTAATGACATCTTCACGAAATCTGTCAAAAGGAGGATTTTAAAACACCGGAAACCTCTGGATTTCTGCTGAAATAAATTTAACGCAGTTACGTTCAGAGTTTAAGCGATATAATGTTATTTCTAATATGGTAATTGATAAAAAATTTTTACATTACCTCGATTGGACGGAGATTAAGTTTGAATATAATGTAGCAGGCGATATTACTTTTGTCTCACCTATTACATTTTCTCTATCTGCGTTGTGCCATGATCATCATTGAAAATATTCTACGATAATATTTTTTACAATATTTAGATGAGGATTTTCAATTCTAAACGCAAGAGCGTACTTAGGGAAAGATCTACAAGAAACAGTTTCTCATGAATACATTTTAAAAATTCTTTTACCTGACTTCTACATAGATAAAAATTACTACATAGATATATTTCACTTCGACGATTATCTTGATAAACAATTAACGGGAAGTTCTGGGAATCAGTTTTTTTTCAGTTTTGACAGATTTCGTGGAGGTGTTACTATGTTGTAGTTGTAATCGGCCATCCGTGAAAAGCAAATATCTTACGGCTATTACGAAGTCATGAGCGAAAACGAAGCACGTGTTCGTTTCTACTCTGTTTTGCGGGTCTAATATGCTAAATAGGGCCTTCATCACGAAGACAACATCGGGCGAGCTCGGATTTCGTAATCGGAAATCTACCCGAGATGACCTCCTTCTGACGGATGTCGGAGTACGCTTTCCAATTTACACGGGAGGTCCCTTTCACTTGTAATTTTAATTAGAGCTTTCCAGACTACGCCCATTGGAGAATGTAGCTTTGCAATTAATAATAATTAAATTTTTGAATTAAGTGACCATATTCATCTATTGGGCAACTGGTTCTTTAGATAAAGTTGTGTTTTGTCACGGTCATTCATAAGTACAGAAATTCTAAATTTAGATCGGGAGGGGAAGCGTGAACGCTTTGTTCATACTGAGAATAATCAAAAGTAATTTTAACTTTCTAAAATTTTCGTCCAGGAAAGTCGTTGCATAATACTTCGTGAAGCCATTGTTGAATCTGTAGATGCACATATCGTAAAGCGAAACTAAAAATGTTCAAAAGCCGCCAACAGCAGCCAAATGTACGCGCTCTTCTCCCTTGTTCTGAAAGCTTAAATAAAGAACAAATAAATTATAACAAAACACTAAAATAATAATAAAAAAAAGCTTTCTGACTGATTCGTTCAAGTCAAAGTGCATCAAGAAGTTGCATTCCCTAACATGCACGTTTGTGGTTTCTGTATATCTGTCAATCTTAAGTTCATTATTGCATCGTCCTCTGGCCTGGTCCACGGTGCTTGACGAAGTGTCATGCACTTGGCATCACGAACGCTTCGCAGCAATAGGGCATGGACGCCTGAGTAGGAGACTGGGTACGCCCTTTCGTTTAACTGAAGAAACGAGAGAATGTGTTAAAATTTACACGTGAATTACACTAGAGAAACCATTGAGTGTAGGGAACCATACAACATGGCGCAAGACTTATTAGTTGATACTGCATTTTTGCACGAATTCTCGTACCAAATACCACTATAAGGTGTGAACAACCTGATCAAATTGTAAGGCTGGCGCTACATAAAATGATTAATGCTAAGTATCTTTTATTGGAATACGGTCGACGAACGGATTCATTGGCCCTGAAAAAGAATTTCCAAGTTGTAACTAAAGGGTACTTTGCTATAATGGCGGCACTCGCTAAACCTTCGACGGGTCTCATTTTTTAATCTTACCACAGACGACCAAATGCAAATCTTCTAGCTCTCTCAGAACTAGGAACATTAATCAGAAAGAGGAACTAGCTTTTATTCCGAAACCATTTATTTCGTTGTTCTTCAAATTAATAAGACATCATAACATTCTACTGACTGCCGTTTGGAACGGCATTTCTATATTCCTTTTTGCTACAATGAGCCTCTGTAATAGCTCAAACTTTATTTTGACATTAAACTTATCATGTTATTTTTCCTATCGTTTTGGTTTTCGTTGTTTCACTGATTTTGTTTTGTTGTGTTTAGTTGTGTTTTTACATTTTACATCAGGTTTCATTGCTGGGGAAAAGCATTACATTATCAACACAACCTCAGCACAGATAAAGATAGAGGGGACAAGTAATGTAACCAGCGGAAAGATTGAAGATAAAACTTTCCATGGTCCCAACAACGGAATTTGGAACTACTCTGTGGCAGCGTTTAATTTCACTTCAAGTGAAGCCAAAGATATCTTTCATGAAAAAAACAAAATATCTATCCGTGGTACGAATGCCCTTTCTGTGATCGTTCAGGGCAATTTTACGGTGGGAACTGATTTAGATGTGAGTGGTAAAAATGTCAGTTTTACCTCAAACGATAAACAACTGTTTTGGCTCGGAGGATTTATACGAATGAATAAAACTTGCTGTACATTGGGTAAGTAAACGTTTCATTCAAGTATCGTAAGTGTGCATGTAATAAGGAGAGAAAGACAGGAAAATTTTGGTGAAATTCTAGTTAAGTAATTTTGATTCAGTATTCTTGAATTGAGTATCGAGATTAATCCTGGATTGCTTACTTCGCTCTGTGATTGGTTTAGAAAACTCTCGCCATCATCTTAACCACCTCGGTCACACGTTTTCCCGCGCTTCGAACTGGTTGCCTGTTTTTACTTTGAATTTCCATTGTGATAACTTTGATTTTGGATTTTTTGACACTTAATTCAAAACTCCTCCATGTACAGCCAATAAAAAGAAAATAATCAAACAAATGAATCAACGAATGTATGAATAAACAAATAGATAAATGGATATTAAATAGATTGAAATAAAATGCATAAATGATAATTTTTTTATATGTGATTACTGTCTCTACTGTCTTTCCATTAAATACCCCGAATCAAAGGAAACTTTCTTGATTGAATGAATTAAAAGTTATCAGCAGTATCACTTTGGTGCATAGTTGTTCAAGCAACTGTAGATTCCAACATTCCTTTTGTGTTTCTGTACTAATTACAGTTTTTCTCTCCTTCGGTTTATTGATAGGTGCGGGGCCTGGTGGAGCCTTTAGCTATCACGGTGGTGGTCATGGCGGCAGAGGGGGAGGTTTTTATCAGGACAGGAACACAACTAGACTGTACGGGTGGAATTACTTCGATACCATTTACCTACTAGGCGGCAGCACAGGTGAGATCGTTAATCCAGGCAATGATTAAAGGTTGTTGATTTAATTTCCACGAGCGATGGAAAATAAGAAACACATTTTGGAATCCTTGTCAAACTGAGCCTCAGGCTTTCAGCGAGATGGGTCATGTTAAGCCGGTTACTTTCAAAAAAATCGTTTTATTTTCAGTGCTATAGAGTTAGAAAAAACAGTCAATTAAAATTTTTCGAAAGAAAAATTTCAAAACCTCAATAAGAACGCGTGATAGGTTGATAAAATAATGTTTTGGGGGAGCCTATACCGAAGTGCAAAAGGTGTGACAATCGCAAAGGCCTCCAGCAGGGTTTTCGCGGGCTCTCGTCGGCCTTCAGCAGAGTTTTCGCGGGTTTTCGTCAGCCTCCAGCACAGCTTTCGCGGGCTTTTGTCAGCCTCCAGCAGAGTTTTCTTGGGCTTTCGTCGGCCTCTAGCAGAAGTTTTGGCGGGCTTTCGTCCGTACAGTGGGGAACACTTAATCGGTTTTAATCTTAGGTGTTCGCTCAGTGAATACTGCTCGCCAGGATAATCCCCGATTCCGAAAGAGTTCCACAGTACGAATTAAGGTCCTAGAAAAATGCCCAAGACAGGGGAAGGAGGTTTCAACGGGAGGTCGAACGAATCAGATGACAATGAATTTCATGATCAGAGTGTCCATTCTTAGTTTGAATCTAAAGCACTTACCTATTGTTTACCAAAATCCTATACTATAATTGTAATTGTGAAAACAAATTAAAGGTGTGGTTAATTAGACCGTACGGAAGCGAGCTTTGTTAATCTTTGCTTTTAGGATGTTAAATATCGGTTGAAGATCCGTCTCAACAGCGGAGATGGGTGTAGGCACTATTGACTTTAGGTCAATTGAGGGGAAAATCGACCAGAAGCTCGATTGAATTTAATGATAACGTTCGTTTGTTCAATCTAGTCTAGTTTAGTTGAGTCCAGTCCAAACAGTCTGTCTGGAGACTACGCGTTCGATAAAAGCTTTTCTGTTTCATTGTTATGCGTTATTAGTACACGTTTCTTTACTCAGCGAAATCTCAATATTTCACGAGGTTTCCTTTCTTTTCCCTCAAATTTAAGTTACAAATGTTTCCTCTCCCGTTTTCCTCTATACAGGAACGAATTTGTTCTCCAGCAAAGCAGGGTCTGGCGGTGGAGCTATAGAATTGAAGGCAATCGGTGGAACACTAACCCTGAGTAAGAATCAATCACTTTTCTACATTATGATGTGACATACATATATATCAAATATATAGTATTTTCCTGGTACTGGGCATCGATCTTGGAGTTCCATAGCAAACGCCGTTTTATTTTGGCGATCAGGGTCGCGCATTAAAATGCAACGCGATTGCACCCTTCAATGCAGAAACCTTTCATCATTCCGAAAAGAGCGCCTCAAAATATATTTTAAACAGGCGAGCTATCATTAGCCTACTTAGAATTTGTAATGTGACAAGAGGACCCATACTTGGATTTACATCGGCAAGGGTAGTGCCTAAATTGGGTGGTGCTTAAAACTTATATAAATTTCTCTCCCATCATTTCACCCGAGAGTGACTCCGACTGAATAGTAAAAGCGCTATTTTGGATTTTGAACTGTTCTGGTCATATTCCTCATCAGCTATCGTCGGTTTTGAATACAAGCGTTTTCCCGTTTAATCCCCCGATGAAAGCTCAGTGTGGGCCATTTGTGTTAAGTGTTTGAGAGGCTCTGGAAAAATTATGTCATCTACTCAACAAAAGCCTACTGTTAAGTCTGAGAATTTTAGGAACATATCTAAACAAGTTCTGAGGTTTGTTTGCGTGTCTCACTTAAGTGGTCATGCTATTCTCAAGCTTTGACAAATGGTGTTATTGAAGAAATTAACAATTAATTACAAAATTGTTCAACTTTGCCATTTTTAATCCGAGTTAATCCTTTCCATTCTCCACCATCCCCATTTTTTTAATGTTTTCCTACCTGTCTGGTTTCTGGTTTCAGGCAATTAATTTAAGGTTTCCATTTTTTTTTTAGAGGTGATTCTCTTTGACGCGCAAAATGACCCCAGCTCTTTTACTGGCGTAGACGACTCTCACTGAAAAGTTTCTTTTTTTACGACTTCATTTAATTTATGTGTTAACGGGACTCTCTTTTCCAGATGCTGCAATTAAGGCTGATGGTTACTCGACTGGCAACACAAGTGATGATCACTGTGCAGGGGGCAGTTCAGGAGGATTGATACGACTACAAGGAAATAGGGTAAATGCAAAAAAAGGGAACAACAATAACTGATAAACGTACGTGAACCGTGTGTTTGCCAGAAGGACAAATGCATCATACGGAATATGATACATGCAACATGGTTTCTTAAAAGGGTTTTTTTTCTCTTTGATCTAAGATGCAAAAATATTTTCGTTAGTGGACTATAATGATTATTGACCTAAGACAAAAAGCCTCAAATGAAACAAATTCATTAACGGCTCTTTATTTCTGTTAAGGTGGTGATAGGAAAAAGCGGAAGTTTATCTGCAGTTGGTGGGGACAGCGGTTTTAGCTCTAACCATTCGAATTACTGTGGGGGTGGTGGTGGAGGTGGAGTTATTCAAGTCTTTTCGCAAACCGATATTAAAAAATATGAAGCAAATAGTCTGAAAAGGACTAATGGTGGACGAGGATTGCAAAATGGCGAGGCAGGACAAGAACAAGTAGCTTGTGAGTATTCTTTATAAGAACCCAAGTAGTTAGGCACAGTAATTACTAGAACAAACGCCCCCTCAAAACACGCCTATGATGAAGACAAAACAACTTATAACCACCAATCGGAAGAATGCAGCATTAATTCAAAGCAATTACGGTATAACCGCATTCTTGGAATAAGAACATGGATTGTTTTGCTTAATGTTTTACAAATGCTTTCCCGTAATATTTGTCGGTGATTTTAAGAAGTTGTGATTTTGAAAATAAACGCATCGGAAATGCCAATTAAATTACCATCGTATTGAATTAATTAAATGAGATATATTTAGACTCTCCCGTAATTAAAGTGCAAAACGCGAGCCCCACGCTTCACGTGTTGCTTTATTGATTTGGTGAGAGATGAATCGATACCACATCCAATTTTGGGTCTCTGTAAACGGCAATTATCAGAAAATGGCCCAAAACGGATCAGAGAATAAGAACTCTATTGGGAATCTAGTGTATTAGCTTGATCCTGTTTGATTTGCACAAACGTGAAAAGCACCTGAAAGAGGTTTGAATTAGAGGTCCATTTCATATTTCATCAGGAAAGAAAAAATAACGACATGGAAAGAATATGCATAAGGGTGGAGAGGGAGGGTTTGTTCTTACGTCGACTAGTCACCGAAGAGCATTTGGAAACCAGTCAAAAGAAAACCCACACGTATACTTAAAGCTCTGTTTCCGGAACACATCCGTACTTGTAGAATAAGTTTATTCATCGAGAGGACAGAAAATTCTTTCGTGACCTGTATACTGACTGTCGGGGCTTTTAAGGCTTTAAGATTCAATTGCTTTTGTTTTCAAGCGGTTTCAATTAAGAACTCAATTCAAAAGCAGCCGCGTTTTCTCATGGCTTTTTTTTTCCAGTTGTATCTTAGGAGAAAGAAAGTTAAAGATACAAAAATAGATTTCTTTTTCTTTTTTTATTGCAAATCGAAAGAGGGCCTGATACGCCACTAAAATACATTGAGATGATGGAACTGTATGAAAAACCTTAGATGCCATGCGATGGGATTATTGAAGGGTTAACCGATTGCGTTTTCAATTAATTTGCTGGCGTAAACCGATCAAAAACAGCAATCTGTAGGTTAAGTAATCATACCCAGAGCTTCTCGAACTTTGACGGATACAAAAAACGAGGAAGCTTGCGGCTTTCATAAAGACCTCTTCACAGTGGGTAACCTCAAATTCACCCCGGGCGATCCAAAGGTTGTTTCGGTTTTTCTCATCGCGTCAATACATTCTCCATGAGATTGAGGTAAGAGGCTATCATTAATCACCCGCGATGCTTCAGGTGAGTTATTAAAAGGATTATCCCCTCATCTTCGTACAGAATCGCTTGTTCCTTGCATTTAGCAGGAGGAACATAAAGAATTTTCTCTTCCTGCCATTCGAATTTGTCTGGTGACATTACCTACCCTCAGGCATTGACAAATTAGCGCATATGCTCAAACGACCAAAAGAATGCGATAGAGGATACACAACAAATATACTATTTACACCCCGTTAACGAAAAGACAATGTCATCGACCTCTCAGACAATGAGAGGTTAGGTATAACCAGAATTTTTGTCTTCCTAACTTACGGGCAGCGGGACACATTCACTCACGACGATTATTGAGTGTATAGAATTCCGCGTATGAAACATGTGTCATGATGGATTTCCTCACGTTACCTTCACTCTGCTTCTTGTAAGTTGTTTTATTAGCGGATGTGTTGGGGAGGATCCAATGTATAGTAAGTATTCTATTAAGTTTGTTTTGATGAACGGTTACTACTGCTTCATGCCCTACAGTGAGACTATCGAACAAACATGCGGCGATGGGCAAGCGATTCGCCTCATCTGCTCAGATAAGCGGTTTTAGTTATATAACAAAAGGAAATCCAGTAAGATCGTGCCATAGAGATTTGATTTTTAAAGTCACTTTTCGAAAGATTTCGCCGCTTTGCAATGGGTCCGGCGATTTCAAGAAGAAATTCTCAATTTCGATAGGTCCCTGCGGGACGCAAACGATCTGAATCGTTTAAGATAGGTGTGTATTTCTATTAGATAAGTCTTCAGGTGGACACCCACCGATAAATTTTCCTTGAATCTTCCATCCAAAACACTTTTTACACGATCCTCTAATCCGCAACATGTGAATTTAACTTCTCCTTTCCTCTTTCGTTACTATTCTGTGTTTTTACTGTTGAGAATTTTAGGAATTATGCAACGCGGCAGTTTAAGAAACACTTGACACGGCCTTTGATGATTACATTAATGATAATAAACTTTTTTAAATGGATGCGAGACAAGTCGATGCAAAGACAAATTTTATTTGTTCCTAATCATAACCTGGTAACAGTCGCATTATATTTGGCGAGTTCAACTTATTAATTTGTCACTTAGCCTGTTAAGTGTAGATTATTTCAATCATTTATCGTTGCGAAACATATCAATTTTCTGAGTCAGAGTGAAAATAAAAAAAAAAAAACTAATTGGATTATTTAATTGAAATAAAGTGAAGTTTGGTGTATCCATTTTCCAGGTATGATTTATAATATATAGTTGATCTTTTTCCAAGGATAAAATTTTTGTTGGTCTCGGATAACGGGAACAAAATACTGATTATTTTGGCGCAAATTAAATCCAGAGTCACAACTGAGTAATTGAACATTGCGACAGTTAACCAAAATTGCTGTATCAACTCAATTTTCGTGCTCAAATAAACACAACTTTCCCGTAAAATCGACTCGTTATTGCAACATGACTATTCGGACCCAAATCTTTGCTTTTTACTTGCATGTGCAGACCAGGTCATTTGCTTGCGAGCTGTGAGTAATAGATAATTGCTATTTTCGTCCGAGCATACTACGTCTTTGTCGGCGTCAAAAGATGTCATGGTAAGATTGAGATTGTGGTTAGTTGCAGGTCAAATCCTCACATGAAATTAGCTTATGGGTTCGATATTTTAGCGGAGTTTTCACTGTTCTTATTTCAGGTTAACCCTTATTAAGGTAAAATATACATGCTGCTCAAGTGTGACTTAATAAATTTATTCTAAAAGGTCAATGGAAATTTCGGTTACGATATGATAACCGATCTCTATAGTTTCTAATGCTTTACCGCAGAAATAATTATTTAGTTTTGACTTAGCGTGGTTTCAGCCTGCTAAAATTGTGAAAATGGAACGAGCCGAGTCCACGCGAATAATCGTGAAATCGAACAAACAAAGCTCTCCGCTGGTCAGTTCCTAGTCCACTCTTCATCCAATCATCTGTGTAAAACAAACAGTTTACGCCACAGTCACGTAAAAATTCACCAATAATTTGTAGTTAAGACACATTAACGAGTTGTGATGAGTGTTGAAAGTTTGAAGTGTGCAACAGAGAATAAAAACATAACAATTCCTTGTGGTACAGCCAGCGGTATCTTTATAACTTCTTCACATATACTCAAGGCCTCTTCAACTTCTAAAGTGCACACGGATTAATTTGCAGATTTTTGCTCTAAGACTTGTATCATCTTTCTCTATTACACTCTAAAATAATAATAATAAATTTTCAATGAAATGCTAAGAAAACTCGTGATTATGAATCATTGAAACAATATTTGGGGCTTGTTCCTCTTCCTTCACTTCTCCCTTAGGATCTTGTCACCAGTTCTCTTTTTCGGGCTTTTCTTGATCATCTTCTCCTAAGATTCAAGGTCAAGGAAAAAATAGGTAAATATTTGTTTTCTGTCAACAGACATGCTTACGACTGTTTTGATTTTTTTGCTTGTGGCCGAGTTTGAAATGGTTCTTTTCGATTCTATCAAGGATAAAAAAAAATTGTCTGACGAATTTGTTTGGTAAAAATAAGTTTGCATGGTTGCAGATAAGCTGTTTTGAATTTGATACCGCGATTTGCATGCGAGCTGTTATATCTCGTGCCCCGATAATCGGTACTGAGAGCATTACATATAAGTTTGATAAAAAGCGACACATCCAAGAGCTTCAGAAGTAGAAGCAAATTCAATTTTGTTATCTGTATTTCACACCTATTTTTATGAAGACAGTTCAGAGAATAGGCTTATATACGTGCCTCTTCAGTAAGTTTATAGGAAGAGGAAGATTACGAAATCGTGAATCGTTTTGGGAACTCGAATTACAAAACCAAAATCCTTGTTAAAAGGCTGATAAAAGCCGAGCAGAAAACAGAAAAGAGGGATGAGAGGAGAGGAAAGGGAGAAATTGGCCAATCCCACCAAGTCCAAGAGTTAATCAATTTCATCATCATTCGACCTTCTTTTCCTGTATTAATCTCATTGGTTGACTAAAGTAGGTTAATGACCTCGAATGTACAATTGCCATGAGCCTCTGACATATTTCACCTGGTAATTTTTTGTTGTCCATTTGATGTCCTTTTCAAGGTGTTCTGTACTATATACAAAGATCACATAGTTTCAATAAAACCGTAATGGTTTTGAAATGAACTTTGAATTCTTTACACTGCACTCGGCTGCCTTTCGTGCAGTTTTTGAATTTTTCTTTCTTTCTACTGCAAGCGTCTGCGTTTATCCTTGCCGTTTAGTCTCTCCAAACACTTTCTAACCGCTGAGCTTCCTTTTTTTCTAAGGTCCAGGTATTCTTCACAACGAGGCTTTGAGATTTTTTTTTAACTCAACTACGCAATGACAGCGACGCAAGATTGCATTGCTTCATTTATCCATCGTATATCACCTATTGACACATACTTTCTTGAACCATTCTGCATTTCAGAATCTGAAATATATATACAGCTTGCTTTAGTTTTGTTGCCAACGAACTAAAGATTACTGGCTTTAATGGCAGCATGAACATCAGAAACTTCTGGAATGAAAAAACGCGATTTCAAAATTACGAACAGGCGACCTTGCTCAAGAGAGGTGAACAAAGAACACTTATAAAATGCTGGGCCTGGTTTGAAAATTGATTAATGTTGTCCATTTTAATTGAAGGGTTGAGTGCAATGCAAGAGTGTTTTGACCGATAAGACTAGCGGAGAATGGTTTTTATCAATTAATAGGAGAAGAGTTCACCCATAGGGTAAATAACTGGAAAATATCAAAGTGGAGTTCTCCTGATATCTGGTAGAGTTAATTGAGTCTATTATCATCGGAGAGTAGTAAGGAGGGATTTTGTTCATTCTTCTAATGATAAGTTAGTGCTGAATACTATACACTATACAACGATATGTCTGATGCAAAATCTTCTGAGTGAGAAATCGCTATCAAACTCAATGATCGATAGTTTTTAATGCAATCCAATGCTACATATGTAGCGTTGAAATATAGATATTTAACCGATTTTTTATTTTTAAGCGTGTGGGAAGTGTAAAAGCTCTCTTCATGGTAAATTGTTACCTACGAAAAAAGTGTGTTCATTCGTTGTATCTCAATGACCGTAACAAAAAATCTAAATCGTGTTAACCCTTCTTTAAAACATTCATTAGTTATCAATAATTGGATAGAATATGCCACAAGAAAAAACAAAACAAAAAAAAAACAAAGAAAACAAGCAAACGAACAAACAAGATACTTTCCATATCCTTTCCCGTCCACTTCCTTTGACCTCCAATCTGCATTCGTTGCATTTGATCGCTTGCGCATCAAAGCGCATCTTTCATGGATTTTCGGGTGCACTTAACTCAAGGGGATAGTGTTATATATTTAGAGAATGACCTTGATGAGTGCATAATCGCGCGAGATGAACGAGTAAATAAATACTACATGAAACAGCGAAGAAAGGTTGTTATTGATCTGATACAGAAAAAGATTTCAAATATGAAAAAAAAAAACTATTGTTGAGTGCACGTGGCGAACGCAAAAGATTCTTGTGAATTTTAATGAGAGATTTTTAACTGATCATTCCCGAATTCGAAAGCTATCTTAGGTGACAGTTCTGCAAAGAAAGTTTGTAACGTCTTAACATTACATATAATGTGGGCAGTGGCCGTCGGTTTTTTTCAATCCAAAAAAAATACATCTCCCTTTTCGTCTGGCATTTTTAAGTTTTCGTTGTAACTGCAAGATTTTCACTCGAATGTTAGCTTCCTGTCATACTCGATGAAGCTAAAAAAAGCAAATGTTTAAACTGACGCCTTCCTTTGGGCGTACCACACCATGACATGTCTTCAGCATTTGGAAATGACAACAGTAGCAACGTCTAATGGTTAAAACTTATTGGACTTCTGAAATTCTTCTTATTTACCTGAGAGTCCCTTTGAGAAAAGCTTCCAGCCTTGACATTTTGACATGTTCTTGAGACGTGAAGTGGAACAATTTATTATCGGTGTAAGCCCTATTCTATTCAATATTAACTATACTGAAAGCCGCTCGAGCAAGCGGTCTTATTAAAGTTATTAATAAACTAAACAGTATCTGAATAACTTTTTGCAGTGTACTTCGACCGCCAAATGGATTTAAATATCAACACAACAAGTTGTAAAATGTCCTGGACTAATAATCACGAATACGCTGGCGAAATCGAGCAAAGGACTTTCGAGAAAATGGCTTACAACGTCTGCAAAATCGAATTCAGTTCATCAATTCGTATAGGAAGACAAGTGAGGGTAAAAATCAGTGGAAAGAGAGCTTTATCTTTGATCAGTATGCATGGAAGCATTGAGATATTTTCCCAGATAGATATCGACGCCACGGAACATTCGGATGAAAGCCTCTCTGAGACAAGCATAGGAGGATACGTAAAAGTGTCCCATGATGACAAAGCCGCAGGTGCGTTACTACGACGATGATATCATCTTATTTGACTCCTATAAATGCAATTTTCAACTGTTTTGGTTTTGCTTTACCCAGCCATTTGATTGGTCCAGAAAACTCGCACCATCTTCTCAACCAATCAGATTGAAAACTGTAAACTACTCGCGGCTTGGTCGCGCACGACTTTTTCGCGCTTTACACAATGTTTTTGTGACATTTTCCTTTCCTATTAATGGCTCTTCTGATTACTTCCACCTTTGCTCTGTTAGGTATACTCGGGCCGATCAAAACCAGTTGAGATATGAAACGTTGAAGAGACAACCTATGAAAAATGAAAACTACTCTCTTAGCGCTTTTTATTTCCGGTACCATCCCAGACTAATTTTAAGGGGACAAAAATCTCAACATAAAATTCCTGGTACCTTCAATATTGCGACACTTACTTTTTCCTACTTTCGAGGTGCCTTTATATGTTTGATTATTGGTGTACATCTTTCAAGAAAAATATCTCTAAGTTGCGTTTTGTTAAGAGTCAATAATTTCGACGAGTTTTGCTTTGTTTCGCCCACAAAGGTCCTGCTGGTCTTAACTGTAGTTCGGATGAATTGTATGGTCGAGATTTTGATTCCTTGTTAGGCGGAAGTGTGTGTTCGTGGGAAGGTAAGTGAAATCAAATTCTGTTTGAAAATGCAATTTTGATGAAGTGTAGAGAGTAAATGGGGATTTCTCGCTAATGATAACTATGACAAAAATGAATTCCGACGATGTTAATGATCATATTGATAGTAATAATGACACCAGTAATAGTACTAATATTAATTCCATTAGTATTATTATACTATTCCATATCAATATCATTTCATTAATTATATTATTGTAATCATTATGGATCCATAATGATGACGATACTCAACTAATTGTGAGCCTTTCACACGACAAATCCCTGCAACCAAATTGAGTGTTTACCTATGATAGCGACCCCACAGACAACGAAACGGAGCTCGATGCAATTTTTCCCATATCATTCATCTACAACTCTTGTAATTGTTTTGTTTTGCTAAATACTGTCTAAAGGGTCTTTTTTATTAATTCACAGTCAACAGTGGAGAAGGATTTAAGGCTGTCGGAGGAGGGGCTTTGGAGCTGAGAGCAGAGTCTGGAGCAATTGTCATAGGTATGAACATTTTGAAAAACCGTTTGATCTCTCTCAGGGCCTTTACTGCGTTGAAGGGTAAGGAAGTACAATAAGAGAAAAAAGCAATAAATATGTATAGTTAAGCCTGCTGCATGCTGCCAAAATTGAAGGCAAACCAACACTTATTAATGTACATGCTCGAACTAAGTTTTGGGTAACAGAGTAAAGGTTCTTGGATACCTTCAGTGAGAAATTTACGAAGCCAAGAATGTATACATATAAAACTGAATAAATAAATGATTGAATGAATGAAGAAAGGAATGGTAATAGGAACGAAGAGTGGAGAATGAAAAATAATGAAGAAGAGGGGAAGCAAGAAAGTAAGAATATACTAAAGAATGAATGAATGAGTTTGACTTTTTCTCTCTGCAGATGAAACCATTTCTGCGAATGGTTTCTCTAATAACAGTGGTAACGCCGGCGCCATGGGTGGAACTATTCGTTTACACGCCAAGGAGGTTCGAGGATTAATCATAATAGAGAATTTTTCAATTGAGAGTCGAAAGTTATCCGGAATTGCCTCGGTTTTCTTTTACTTCGTTCTGTGATTGGTCTGAAAGACTCGCGTCACTTTGTCATTTAGTCAAGTGAAAAACTAAGACCAATCACGCCTTGGTCGCCCGCATTTTGAAAGACCGTACTTTGTCATTTAGTCAAGTGAAAAACTAAGACCAATCACGCCTTGGTCGCCCGCATTTTGCCGTAATTTAGGTAGTTTGGTTGTATTTACTTTGACTTCCCATTGACTATTAAAGATATTTTCCTTTTTTTCCGATTGGCTGTTGTGATTACCTCAGTGCTGGTCTTACGACACTCCATCGAAAAATTCTCAAAAGAAAAGTTATTTATACGTAGAACACGTATTAATATTTATAGAATGCGTCTAAATCATTACGTTCAATGGAGAGAAAGTGCAGTTTGGCATACAAACTTCTCTTTTATGACCAGATCCATCTGAAAAGAAAAGCTCTGCTGACAGCTCGCGGCTCAGGTGCAGGTGGAGGTGTGGTTCAGCTGAGGAGTGATGTTGATGTGGATGGATTGTGCGAATCCAAATTTAACGTAACTGGCAAGACATTTGGTCTTGTTAACATCCTTGGTGAGTATAAAAAAACTAAGAGCAGAAATATTCACCGCAGGTGAACTGCAATCTTAGCAATTGCAGATAAGAGGCCTGATCAAATTCAAGTTTTGACGGGATTCGGACCCGTGCCCCCAGATACTCGTTGCGAACGTTGAGTGCGTTGGGCGCTACCACCAACTGAGCTAGTGGGGAGCGAGGCGAATTTTTCTGCGTCGTTCGTACCCTTCTCTGCAAGTGCTAAGATTGGAGCTCACCTAAGAGGATCATTTCTGCATTTAAATTTCATTCATAGATCAAAAATTGAATCCATTAAATTCCCACTTGCTATCACGTTGCTACTTCAATTCTCGGTCATGATGTAAGTAAAAGGAGAACGCAATAACTAATCCATATGTTTCTCTGCTTCAGTTTCCACGAAAGCTACGAATCAAGCACAGTACATTCAGGATGGATATTTGGAAATTGACACCACTAACGCAAGGTGGATGCACAAGTTGGCAACAATGAACGGTTCCATGGCATATTCGTACTATGGCGAAATCAAACCACGGAATTTAAACTCTGGTCATCAATATCATGTTTCCATATTCGAGTTCCAGACACCGATTCTGATCAATGGCTCCACGAAGGTTAGCGTGTTCGGGTTACACTCATTTCTGGTGAAAAGCAAGGAGGGCATCTACATAGGAGTGGACATAAATTTGAAAGAGTCCATAGCAACTTTGGCCAAACGAGTCGGTGGATACTGCGTCACAAGCAGGAACAGAACAGGTAACTTCTTTCTTTTCATGTTCCTGTTGGAAAAGTGATGCCATTAACTTGTCGATTCAAAAAAAGAAAAAAGTTAACGATCCTTGTGCATGAAGCTAGGTTTTCAGGGGTCCTGGAAAACTGGAAAGTCGAACTTTATACTTGAATGATCCACGACGTGAAAGTTCCAGAAAAGGTATAGAGGTCCTTGAAAGTACTGGAAGTTTTGGAATCTGGTGTTCATGTATAATTAGATTTAATTTACAAGTATACTTTACATGTATATGCGGCTATTACATCGGCGACAAATCACCAGATTTTCATAACTCTCATGACTCATCAAGTTGATATTGTAAGAAGAAATCTAATCACTCCTGAGAGTAGAGGGGTTAATATGAATCTTTGGAGTCCTAGAAATTTCTTTTCCGAAAAAGCTCGAGTAAGAACTCTGACAGGTGCATAGGAAGCCATCCCTGTACTTTTTCATGCCTAATCAGTGCTCCTCTCCCTTTTCGCTACTTGTCAGACAAGCGCATTTGACCCGTTTCTTGGTAGCCTTTTTTTTTCAAACTTATCTATCTCCACCTGCTCGTCAACTTTCGGATCCTTTTATTGTTTTAGCTCAACAGGGTCGTCCGAAGTTTTTAAATCTCCTTATGAGAAAATTTATTATTATGTGATTGCTTTTATCCTGTTCTTACCATTTTTATATAATCAACTCCCAATGAACGTAAATATCACTTTTGTTTCGCCTTGAACAGATGGGAAAGGCCCTGGCCGAGGACAGCCTGGCAAGAACGCAGGCGCCGGGCATGGTGGAAAGGGTGGCTTGCTGTTTGAAGATAACAATATCATTTATGGTAAAACATATGGAATACAGCCTGAAATACATCTTATTGGCGGAAGCACAGGTAATAGCTATATGATATTTCTTAATTGCATTTTCAGCCGCGATCATATAGTGATGCTGGGATTAGTAAGCACACCCAAGCAGTTCAATGGTGCTAAAAATGAACGGCGGAGAGCAATCACGCTAGCCAAGAATTTTCTGTTCTTGTTGTGATTGTTTTTTTAATACCAGTTTGCTTCTTAGACGTTGACAGTTAGTTACTCAATCTTTCAGTCATTCAGTTTGCCTCCTGGTCATTATATTGGGTCAGCCAGCAGTGGTTTTAATCAGGGAGACTATTAATGTAGTCAGTTAGTGTCTACGTCAGTGGCAAGTTCGTCATGTCAGCTAGTCGTTTATAGAATTGTTTAGGTGGTTGATGACTCTTTTCATAATGCACTTTGTTATTTTATTTCGTCCGTTTGATTGTTTTTTCTTTAATCCATTGATTCAGTGCTAACCTTTAAATAAATCACTTAATCGGCTGCCTGGTCAATTGCAATCATTCAGCCTAGAAGGTCAGCCTGAATGTCAGACAGTTAGCTGATTGTTTGTGGGGTCTTTCCTGTTGTCTAGTGAGCATGCGTTTCAGAGATCGCGGCTTATTTTGCTAACTCAAACTTTGTTAACTACAGGAACGTCGAATTGCTCGTCAAATAATTGTAAGTGACCATCACAGACAAACACTTGTATCGCGTAGACAAACTACTGCTCAATTCGTCCTTCCAATGCATACACAAACACACACACACACTCCAACGGAAAAAAAAACATCCAGAGATGGGGTATAGTGGAATTCCTATGGGAATTCAATGAAGTTAACTTTGCAAGTTTCATTTCAATGCGATATATTTCGTAAGTGCGGATGGGAAAGGAGAGGAAAGGTCGTCATGCAACAAAGGCTTTATATCCCATTTGAGCTAACCTTGGTGTGCAGAAAAAGAAGCGACTTGTAGTTGTGTATTCAGAGGGTGTTTATCGAAATTGACCGAAGTAATTTTGGCCAGTAAAAGCCTGAACGGAGATAAATATAACCCTTTAACTCCTATGAGTGACCAAGACAGAATTTCTCCTTACTATACCTATACAATATCATGCAGATAAGAGATGAGAATGAAGAAAAATATAAACTTTGGGATTACTAATTGATCTGATACCAAATTATTCAAGCTAACATAATGAGAATCATTTGGCAGACAGTAAGGAGAATTGCTGATGAGATCTTGGGCGTTAAAGGTTAAGGTATCCAGAAATTTTCCTGCGCTTAATGTTTAACTTGAGTTTCAAACGTGTTTTTTCTGTCGCTCGGCGTTCCAAACACGTGCTTCATGACACATTAGGGACCCTTGTGTGTCATGAAGCATGGGAGCTTTCACAATTTGTGCCTCCCAGTTTAACTTCAACCATCTCTTACAGGTACCACTTCCGATCCCGGTCTGGTGATAGGTTGTGGTGGCGGAGCGATTGAAATTTTCTCAGAAAAGAACTTAACAATCGGTAAATATCTTATATGTAGAGGCAGACCACGATCGTATCTCGAAATTTAGTCCTGGAAGACCAATCCTCTGATTGGTTGAGAGATTGGGGCGAGTCAGTTTCTTGATCAAACAAAGCGAAGTGAAGCAAAACCAAAGCATTCACCATCTTGAATCGAAAAGTAACATGAGATGGATTACCTTTACCTATTAGTTAAGGATTCACCATAGACTTTTTATGTTGAACCGCTGTGGACGCAAACTGAGCCAAAATTGTTTATACCTTTCATTTCCCCTTTCACCTTAAGCATTCTTAACTTTATCTCTTATGTAAAAGTAATATTGGAAGCTAGAAAATCTGGCCGTTTGCAGACAGCTTTTCATCAAGATGTTAGTAGGGCTTTTAAACAAACCTTGCTGGGTCGTACCCAAATTGGCACATTCTCGCGCTCCTGAGACGATTTCTCTCTTAAAATTGGCAACTGCGCCAAAGTTGTTCTCAGTCATGAACATTTCATACTATTTGTTGAGGGTTGCAGGTGGCTGCAGTGCTATAACGTGCATTGCAATTGTACATCGATAAAAAAAAGTTGTTAGATAATTAGGTAACGATTGTTTTCTTTGTGTTTCAGATGCTGTGATCAGCGCCAATGGTGAGACAATTACACTTGAATCAATAGCTAGTATGGGTGGAAGCAGCGGGGGAACAATTATTCTTAGATCTGAAAAGGTGAATGAATAAGTAGAAAATATAATTGACGCACAAAGACTAATTACGTTTGACTGAGACAAACACAGAAATTGACGTGGGCGGGGTTTTATTTCAAGAATTTGCTTAATGAAATGGGCGTCTCCTCTTTGTTTGTCAAGGGTTGACGTGTATACAGGTATCAATCCATGAAAATTTATCAAAATTAAAGATGATTTACCTCCGTAATTGTTATGAATTGTAATTCTTGACAATATTGTTGACTGATATTGAAAAACGATTGACTCTGACCTGACAGAATTCATATTTTCCGTTTTCTTTTCTTCAAAGCATGTGATCCTCGGTGACAATGCGAGGCTGGAAGCCACGGGAGCAAATGCTTATGCAAAAGGTGGTGACAATTCTATCCACCGCGGGGGAGGTGGAGGAGGGGTAATTGCAATCATCAGCAAAGGCACACCAGTTGGAATTGGAAGACTATCTCCGAATGAAAACACTGCGGGGGGAAATGGTTCCACTAGTGGAGATAACGGCCTAGTGGTTATTAACGGTATGTCATCAGTTTTAAGTTTTAACCGCCATTAATTACGTTCAATGGGTAGCCTCAGATTTCCATGTTCCATGCGTACGGCGAACGGCGAACGGCGAACGGCAAACGGCAAGGATTGACCGTTCACTTTCAGCCTTTCAGCCGATTGTTCTGTAGACATAACTAATTGCAATTTTGGTGAATAGAGTTTAAATTGCAGGAGTAAAGGACGTTAGATGTTCAATGGAAATATTAAAGCGCCGTTGTTATAAGTACGGTATGAATCATTAAATTCTTCCAATCCTTTACAGGCACCAAGCATTACGGATATCCAGCGGAAGGTAATGATATTCTCGTGGAAACTATAAATAAAGATATTGTACAAACGCTTTTTCTTTGTCCCACGCTCGTGACAATACGAATAAACTTTTTCTTTACTTTGACGGCTGTTGGTAGAACGAGTGGTGTTGTGGAGCTGGAACCAAGAAATGTTTTCGGTTGTTTATTGCTTAGAACTGGATCCCCTAAGATGACATTTTACTCACAGCACACTTTTATTCTTTTTTTCCCCCTCGGTCGCAAAGAAATTACGGGAACTTAATCGGCTTTTGAAACAACTTTTCTTACGATGATGATTTGAAACTTTTTTTTAAGAACGAATGTGTCGTCGCTTCCCCTTTCCCTCCTACCCCCCTCTCCCTCCTTCCCGCTCCTCCCTTCTCCCCCTTCCCTCCCCTTTCCCCTGTCAGGGTCATAGTTCAAGAGCCTGGTCGGCTCAATCCCACCTATACCATACTTATGTGTTCCCTCCAGGCTTTAGTGTCCTCCTTCCTTCCTATGGGGGGATTGATCAGCATCTTTATTTTACGATGAAACAAATGAAGAAACACGAGCTCGTTCATTACAGTCTATCAGATTTTGCTAAGTTTTTCTCTTCTTTTTCGTCAGTTATTGAGGTCAACGAAAGCTACGAAGGATGTGTGAATGGTAGCAATATATCCAATCCCCAAACAGTGACTATGAAAGCCCATGAAGCTTCACCATCAAAATGCATCGAGATTTGCCGTGAAAGAAAATCCCAATGGGCTTACGTAAGGGAGAGAAGCTGCAAATGCTCGAACTCCAGCCAAACCTCGTCTAAGCTTATTGAAAAGTGTAATAAAAGATGTTGGTCAAATTCTTCACTTGTCTGTGGTGGCGATGGGGATGACGCCTTCAGTGCATACAAGACAGGTAAGTCAGTTATTTACCACCATATGTTCAGTATGTTTCCAGCAGGAAGAATGCATCCCACTGGATGTAATTCTTATAGAATCTCTATTAAGTTATTTCTATATCAAAATGGCCCGTTTTTGGCAGTAACCGTAAGATACTGTAGTGTCATTAAAAGGAGACAATGGTCCCATAAGTAACTTGAAAATGTTTACGTTTGGAAAAGGCCCCCAAGGGCAATCAAGGAGTAGTTGTCCATCAAGGGGGAGTTAGCATTGGCAAGTTTAAGAGAGCTGCATGCATCTCATGTTCTCTCGATAGGTTTTATTTAGATGATTAGTTCCTCATACACCTGGGTGGAGTGGATTTGCCACATGAAAAAGTTCCCTCGATTTCGTATAGTTAAAGTATGACAATACCTGGATAAAAATAACTACTACTTATGAAAACTGCTGGCAAAACTGTTCACTGTGTTTGAGCTTGCCTCCGGGTTACCAGCGAATTACCCCGTTTTCGAATTTTGTGATACTTTAATTAAGTAAGGTTTTCTCTTTTTTTTTGAAAATTGAAAATCACTTTGATGCACGCGACCATGAAGAAAACGAGAGAAACGATGTCGGAAACGTCCTTCGTGCAAAAAAATCTGGTTGCAAAGATACTTTAACCGCATTGAGACTTTCCTTATTTTTAACTACTACTGAAGGATTAAGCTTTATAAACAAATAGATTTGACTAGTCCTTGTTGGTCCAAGAATGTAGATGACACTTACGTCATCACGTGAACAAGAACTAATTTCCATAGAACATAGACCTCAGGGTAGGGTGTATCCCTGCTCACTCCTTGCTTCTAACTAATACAGAAGACAGCCTTCTCTTTATTTTTCACTTGGCAAGAAAGGTTATGAGGGGATCATGTCAAAAAAGGCCGGAAAACAACACTGTTTGTAGTTTGGATAACAGTTTTTTTCTCAGCGGTTTTTGACTCATTGTGTATTTGCACACAACATACCAGCAATTGCAGTAGAGATTAAAACTACAGAGAAAGCGAATAATTGATTAAACCCATATGATTCAAAGTACGTGCTTATTCAATTATTCAGTTAAAAGGTTGAGATGGTGAATCTCCGAGGGTTATATTTGAGTAAGACATTGTTGAGAACCAATTGCAGCTGTTTTTTGAACTAATCAAAATTCATATTTCTTGTTCACTTGTCTCTGTCGCGAATCCCGTGGAGTTTGGTGTTCTGTTACTGTTGCAGGTGAAGGAGCGGGATCATTTTTTCATAAATCTGAATCTGCAAAAAAATCATAGTCGTGTATTTAGCTTTAGTTATAGGATTAAAAAACGAAGCATACTGTACAATCACGAATTAAGGGAGAGCTGAACCTCTAAAGTCTAAAACAGTTATATGCTGTTTTAATTATCCAATTTTTGGCAATGATTGACGTTTCTGTCATATGACACTGGACTAAGCAAAATTGGTAGATCTTTCTGATGTAATAGCTTCTATGACCTCTTCTGATTCTATGATATCATGGAAACTTAAGTTTTACAGAATCTATTTTTGATGGGAATTGCGGATTTTGTGCAACTAAATATGAGTCAATCATTGTGCCCTACGATCTTGCGAACTGACAATTTTTCTTCGTGAATAATTAACTACTCATATCTATTGTGGATCGCAAATGAAGGTTTGAATATTTAATTTAGAGACAAATCTCAAGATTTACATTAGCAAGCCTAAAAGCTCTTTTACTGATGGATATGAAGATCGCTCTTCAAAATAAACAGTTTTGCAAAAACAAAGTTCAATTTGAAAGGTAGAATTCATCAGAATCAAGCCATCGCGATTCACCGCGAAGATTTTTGGATATAGGAGCGAAGATTTCCACTTTTCAGTATCAAACACACGGACAATGTTTGTTTGTTAGTGGGCGCATTGCACACATCAGGAAAGGGAACCGACATTGTTCGAAGAGCTCCTATAGATTTCATTATCTTCCGGATACTAAGTTTGAATGAAAATTGAATCTTGCATTCATATATAGCCCAGCGTCAACAAAGAAGCGGGTCATTTCTTGGCACACTTTCAAAAGAAAAAAACGCCGAATTCAAAACTGATCCTTGTGCAATTTTGACAACAGCAAGCGGATTTTGAGGAAGAACTTCACTGCCTGGTGGCAATGGGTGCTGGACAGTGCGCAAACCTCAATAAAGTTGTACCTCAAGAAGGGGAATTGCTCGGCCCGTATCTGGCAAACTGCGTTATTATGTCATTTCTAAGTATAACATCTGTAATAGGGAACGTATTAATCTTGGTTTCGATTTGCAGAGCTCCTGAATTTCTTCGCCAGCCATCGTATTTTCTCTTGCTCAATTTGGCTGTTGCCGATTTGTGCGTTGGGTTTATAGCCGAACCTCTCTACGTGATATACAAAATATCTTATTTATTCAATCCACTCTCTGTAATGTCCTGTTACGCAGGGTATGTGTTTAACCTAGTCTCTTTTCTTTTGACGTCGCTATCGCTTTGGACCGCAGCAGCAATTTCTCTGGATCGATTGATGGCCCTTCATCTTCATTTGAAGTATACCTCCATCGTAACCAAGCAGAGAGTTGTTATATTGATTGCTGTTTTGCTTGTATTAAGCGTGGCTTTCGCTTCCATGTTTGAATGGGCCATCGACGAGCAGAACACTGTGTTGGCGTGTGCGAACTCTCTCGCTTTGCTCATCGCATTGTTGTCTTACGTAAGGATATTCCAAATCTTGCGCTACCATCAACGACAAATTTCTAGTCATCAGGTTGGCGAAATATCATCGTTCACCGACGGCGGGGAAATGGACTCAACGGGTATCTCCTTTCAGGGAGAGGACATAAGGGAAAAACGAAGAGAAGCTACTAAAGACGTCAATGGAAATAGACGAAATGAAATGCGAAGCGATAACGTACAAATGGTGGACAAAGGTGAAGATCAAAGACCTGACGGTGAAAATCATATCAAGGACAACAAGAAATTGCAGACGAAGGTATCATTTGTCTCCCGTGAGAATCATGGATGCTTTTCTTCAAAAGAAGACTTGGAAAGTCTACGAGTAGGTGGTGAAATGAACATTGCTGAAGATAAAGGTCATGAAGAAGACGAGATGCATCTAAAATTCGGGAGCACAAGTGCTCAACTTGGGAAAAGGACACTAGACCATTCACGAGAAGAGGAAATAGATGTACAGAAAATCGAGGAAGGAAAAGAAAAATTAATAAGAGTGGAAGTGAATGAAGCGAGAAGGAATGGAAAAAGAAGCAGTGAAATGAACCACGAATGCCCAATCGAGATGAAGGCTTTGAGTACTTTGCGAGCAGATCGAAATAATACTCGAAACAATCAAATGAAAGGAGAAAATTCCGTTGTCCCAGAGAAGCATAACGAAAGCAGGTCATCAGAGGGCGAAATTAATTTTAAGGGATTTGAAAAAAATCAGAATCGTCTGTTAATAACTGAAGCACCTTCCATTAGACAGATAACACAAGAAAGATCACTTGAAATGACTGCCAAATGTGTCACCATTGTTGGCCATGGTAGGACCAATACAGACGTCAACGAGCAAAGTGATATTAATATTGTCAATAGAAGGAAAAAATTTCAAATGAGAAAGTTCAAGAAGTCGTTTTATAACATGTTTGTTATATGGTTTCTCATGTTACTCTGCTATTTACCCCTTATATGCACATCTATATCGTTCCTATTGATTGGGCGTAGTTATTCTATGCACCTCGCGTTCAATTTCACAACATCTGTAATGTTCATGAATTCTAGCATAAATCCTATCTTGTTTTGTTGGAGAATACGTGAGTTTCGCGCAGCTGTAAAGAAAACACTTAAAGAAGTGTTTGGATTTCGGAGCAATCGCGGTACCTGATGTAACACTGATATGAGAAGATATCAATTATGTAAACCTTGAATACATTAGATATGTTTAGTTCATCTTCAAAGCTTGAAAAAGAACCACTAGGGGTTTGTGGTGTGTGGGTGAGAACTTCACGCTCTCAACAGCTAACCAAATACCATAATTTATATTTTCCAAAAACATATCTGCAATTTGAAAGCGCTTTTCTTCTATGAGAGTAATACGTTACAACGCTTTGATGTGATAATTGTAATGAAATGTCAGTGTGGCGGAAAATAGTAAAGAGTTAGGTATAAATTCTTATAACTTGTCTGAGACATTGGAAGCTATCTTGGCTTTGCTTACAAAGTGTCGTGTCTTTCTGTCATCCCCACAAAAGCTGTGTTTGTCATCACTCTGAGAAGCGTTAGTCAAGCTTCATTCATGTACGCCAGTGCAATTTACATATCAAAACCTCGCTCTGTGCAATTGACTTGACTGGTAGTTTCGTACATATTTACGTTGTTTAGTAGCGTACAATCTGCTAAAATCTGGAAATCTCATGGGAATAATACGCGGCTCAATTTTTTTAAGGATAGAAAGGTTCTGAATTAAAATTAGAGAGACATCACACAGATTTATACTTTTTAATCCGGATTCGCGTCGTTTTAGTTTAACAAGCTCTATGATTGGCTCTTGAGAATTGCGTTGTCGTCTCAACCAATAGAATACTGCATGCGAGCTAAAAGTAACTTCATAATGAGGTGCTTTTCCACGCTTGGAGTGCGCTTGTTATATTTGTTTGCCTTATGCTGTGATCACCTTGTGATGTTGATATTGGTCACTTCAATTGGTTATTGTAGTTTTTATTAAAAACACAGGAAATAACGCCCTAGGACTTGTAGGGAATTTATGAAAAGTGATGTTTATGAAAAGAAGCACAAGCGAGTATAGAATATTAGAAGACCTAATTTATTTTTGGAAATATTAACTGTTTCTTTCTAGACTCTAATTGCAAAATTTTATTTTCACTCAAGACCTGAAAGTAACATTTCTCAATAAATATAACTTAAACTAATAAAAGCGTTCTTTGAAACTGATACCGCAGGTAATTATTTCGCCCCGTTACATAGCAATTATCTTGTTTTGTAAGGCATAGTCATCTAAATTGAAACATGAAAGTGAAACTACATAAACCAAATAAATCTAACTTGAAACATTTTCAGGATTAAATTTGTTTTCGATTCTCTGCTTGAACGACTGAGGTGGTGGGCTGATCCAAAATGATTGCGTTTGTTTGTTGGCGAGAAGGACTTCGAAGCCGGAGATAATACAAAAAAAAGAAGAGAAAAAGACTTAAAAAGGCATAATTATCTGAATAAAAACAATTTTTGAGCAATTTTGAGCTGAGCATCGAAAGCAATTCAGGATTGCGTTGGTTTTTCTTTATCAATCTCGGCTGTGGGCCTTGAAAACTCATGTTACCCTCACAATTGATCAAGTATAGAACTGACCATAACAAAATAAAAGTAGATCACCATTTTATTTGCGCTTCAGGCTCTTTGCTTCTTTTGCTTTGAGACATTGTTGGTTTATTGTTGGTTTTTTCTTTGCTCTACGATGGCCGTTGCGATTACTTTGGTTTTGATTAATAGCCACTCGATCGAAAAAATCATGGTTATAATTACAACTTTTTAAAATCGTTATTCGGAAACTTTGAAATTTAATTTCAAAGCTTTGCCAGAGCGTAATGGTTATAATTAAAATTCTTATTCTGTCGAAACATCGGAATCTTGAAAAATAAAAGTCAGAGAAAAATAATAAATGAAAAAAATAAAAATAGAGAATAATACATGGGCGCGCGTAGATATGGAATTTCTCTTCTAGTGTTTAACTCGATAGCTCACGAGTTAGATGTCGAGTTGAACACGAAAAGAGATATTTTATATCAACGTGCAACCATGTATTACTTTGTTTATCATATAAACACAACAGCCCTTTACTGACAAGAAAAGCCGACTTTATTAATGGGTGAAAATAAAGTAATGGACAATTTCCGAATAAAAATCGTCATGATTACAAAAACAACAATGGCAAATTTTCAATTTGCAAAATTCCCATTCATTGACTTTGTCCTTACTGACAGAAGAAATCCTTGACGGCCAAATCGGCCTGTGGCTAATCTTCCAGCTGTCGATTTTCGTTCTCAGCCGCGAGAAGTGCCATTACCAAAGCCACTGAATACGTAATTTTCAGTTTTTCTTTTCGTATATTGGTTTTCTTCCTCTTGTAGGAAAGTTTGGACGTCACTGTCTGCAAAAAATACAGATTTTTCCGTGTTTTAGCAGCTGTAATCTGAGAAAAATCCAACAAACTACCTTGGATTGAAAATGGTGAAGGCTTTGCCGTTCATTCATCAACCTGACCGAATGGTGCGAAAGGCGAGTGACGTGTCAGCAGCTGATTGGCGATATCAGACACACGTGTAAAAATGTCGCATTTTTTCAAGTGTATTGTTATGATAAAACACTACAATCATACAGAAATCTGTTCGCCAGACTTTTTTCTTGTTAACAGAGTAAGTCTGCTTATCTGTTTTCAGGCTACGTCGCTGAGTTTTCATATACTATAATATCCACTGCAACTTTAGCAGTTTTTACCACATCATCCGTGGTCAATGCCATTTCACCAAATAAGACTGTAGAGGTAACAACGACGCCAACGACGCCAACGACGCCAACTCATGCCACCACATCATTAGTGGTCAATGCCATTTCACCAAGTAAGACTGTAGAGGTAACAACGACGCCAACGACGCCAACGACGCCAACTCATGCCACCGATGAAGCGAAGACTACCGAAGAAACGAAGCCTACCGATAAACCTACGACCACGCCCCCAGACGAACCATCGGGAAAGGTGAATTTATTCTAAAAGAGGCATGTTGACAATTGTTGGAAGACTAGGGGTTTAAAATGTTGCCATACACAAAGTAAAATTGTTTATGGTTTAACTGGCTTCCACTGTCCACAGTACACATGACACGAATGATATCCCTCAGGAATCAAGGGCGGTGGGGAAAGGTCTCTCCTCCATTCGTAAATAGTGTAAAATCTTACAGTGACATGCATATTGAATACATTCTTCGTTCTGCATAGGTATTTCGTCTTGTATGATTATCAGCTTAGCCTGACATACCTACATATCGAAAACAAGCTCATTTGAAAGACAAAATTGTCTTTTTTTTCTTTAATTTTTTAGTTCAAAGACATTGCAAATGTCACAATCACAGACGAAAACGTCGTTGAAGTTGTAAGCCAGCTCAAAAACCTCACCAAAGAGGAAGACATGAATGGTGGAGACACGAAAGTCGCCCTGGGAATCCTGCAGAAAATCACCAGCAACAACAGTTTACTTCCCGCAAACAAATCTGGGCGGCAGAAAATAGGACAGGTCAGGGGGAAGATTAGCGATGATAATGACGATGATACTTATCATGACCATAATAAGGGTGATGGTAATGACAATGATGTCACCGATGACGACTACGATGGTAGTGATGATGACAATGTTAATGATGACGCCAAAAGCGATGAGAAAAACCATAATAACCAGGAAACGCGATTACCCGAAAAATTTTAAAGTCAATTTTGTGGGAGTTTCTGTCATAGTAAATTCTGAGTTCGAGAAGAATAATAGTCTTGATATACATAGATAGGCAACTTCTTAGATCCTCTTTCATTTCATTCGGTTACCCTACACGAAGAAATCACATCTAACGATGGCCATTTTGAAAGTTAGCTGTTCACCATTGCAATGCTCTTGTGCATGGTAATTATAGCAAGAAATCATGAAATTCAGACCAATCACAGAAACTGAATCACTATAATAACCTGGCTCTGTCGTTAAAAGCACGATCAGCACTAGTGTACCTCAAAGAGCTCTATAACGCACAACTTTTGTGTAGAGCGGCAGGTTTCAAACAACACGATATGTATACGCCAACAGCCTAATTCAATTGGGCAGTTTATCTGTTTTTTTTCTTTCAGAAAATTCTTCAGGTTGCCAGCTCACTCTTGTCAGGGGAAAACGCTGCCAATTGGGGCGTACCAACAGATAACGAAAATAAGACGGACAAGGTTGGTACGATTAGCAAAACGTAGAGTTTCTATGAATGTTATAATTATGTTAACGAATCTAAAATAGATGACACTAAAGAACTTGAATTTGATTACGCTATAGCTAATTTTTGTTTTTCTTTAGGTGACTTCTCAGACCCAAGTTTTGGAAGTTATAGAAAACATTGGTCTAAAAATTGGAGAAAAACTTGGTGATGACGACAGCTGGGTCGTAGAAAGTGAAAATATAGGTACGTAGCAAGATGTTTGAGCTTAGTCTCTAATTTAAAGTTGGAGTCATGAGAAGTTTCTATGTCACCCGCACACGAGGCAAGTAGCTACCCTGTTACCGAGACTCATCCCGGTGTCCGTTGTGTGAGTTATATGAGAAGAAGATAACCTTCCTTGGGTGAAATTGTAGGTTGCCTCAACCAACCAAGAGCTTTGTCAGGTTTTCTTGAAAGATCGTTGATACCCATTTACACTCCTGAGTGGAAAGAGGCGCTGCGAGAGTCAAGTGTCTTCTCCAAACAACATAACTCGATTGCAAACCAAACAGCTAATGCCCCTCGAAGCTGGTGCAATGTAAGATGTACTTTTGCTGAGTAAGATGTACTTATGCGTTTAGTTGCCATTTTTACGTTCTCGATACAGCTATGGGTGTAGAGACCAAGATACCTGACGAGTCTTCCCCTGGGGTGAAATATCCAAGATATGATGAACTCGGCCCAGAATGGAGAGGACAGGATCGTGTATTTGTTAATAGAGAACTCTTCGACAAGATGGCGGCAGGTCGGTCCGGTTTTGATGTGCGCTCTTTTATTCTTAGAACAACGTCACCTCATGATAATGTCAGTGATCAACTGCGGCCATTGATCTGCAGAAATTTTACTTTTGTCATCTCTCTGGACAATTATCAGTAATTTTGAAAAAACGTCACCTGATGATAATGTCAATGATGAGCTGGGGCTATTCATCTGTAGACAGTTTGCAGTTTGCTACCTTTTTATGTCAGTAGTTTTGTCAATTTGCACAAGGTAACAAGTGGCTTACAAGTATTTCTTCTGATTCTATTACATTCTATTCTCTACAAATTTTGGTATGTTAGATCGCCATTTTGAAAACAATTTTGAAGAGAGATCATGTTACTTATGTAAGCATTTTTCGTAGATAACAGATCAAGAACAACAGTTGTCTATGCCATTTACAATCAAGTCAGCGAGCATTTCCCTACGAATACAATCAGCAAAAAGAGGTACGGTGTCTTTGTTTTACTTTCTTTATTTATTTTCTTAGTTTATCACACACAAAGATATATTGACAATTTTTCACTGTTCATTAGGTCCTTAGAAGCAGTTCCCAAAGCATGAATCATACATGATCATATCTTAAGCTGATTTATACACGCATTTTGATTGGTTCCTTCGTATGGTCTATTGGAGGACAGACCAGAAACGACGTCACCATTGACAGTCTTAAAGTTTTTAGTCACATAAGACAAATAAATTCCATATTGCCGTGTGCCTGTACAGTCATAGATCACAGAGGAAGTCAAGATGTGATGAGAACATCACTGCCTCACTCAGCGGCTATTTTTTTATTACATTTTGACGTCATCTACAATCTACAACTGATCAGAGTACGACAACGAGGAATTTATTTGCTTAACATATTTTTGATTCATTTTCTCTGTTCACTAAGGCCTGTTTTTGACTAAAATCTAGAAAAGACTAGTTTCCGAGTTTAACTTCAAGAGAACACTCATTGTTTCATTTTCTTATCAGCTCTGAGAGTCTAATTGTGAACTCCCGAATTCTGGCTCTAAAGTTTAACAAGCCACTTCTTACTCCATTGAAGACACCTATTAAACTATGGTTTGATAAATTGGAGAAGGTTTGTTTCCGTTTTATTTCCACTGATAGAAAGAATAACAATTTATGAATTGATTAAACTTGAAAACGATGTCTACAATTTCTCACCCTTGACTGAAGGAGATTAGTAGAATACTAACTCACCTAATTTTTCCCCATTGAATACCAAAATATATTAAATTATTGAAAAAATAACCCCAAATACCTGCATGTTTTCAACCCTATGTCTGTACACCAGGGACCAAAAAAACACGAAAAACGAGATGATCTGAACCCGATCTGAGAGAAAATACCAAAACACCTGAGTGAAAAAGAACCTGAATTCTCCATTTCCAAAAATCACAGATCGGGCCTGTTGACTTAACCATCGTCCTTTCAATTTCAGGGCGAAAATGTTACGAAACCTTCCTGTTCGTTTGTGGACTTCGAGAGGTAAAGAAAATAAACCACTGACCATTGATCTGTTTACAGTTTACAGTTTGCTACCTTTTTATAGCTCTGAGATCTAATATATTCATTCTCTTGCTGTGGAATTTTGATTCAGAAAATTTGAATATCTGTGACGTTTTTTTATACATAGCGCAAGGGGCTCGTGGTCACACAAGGGATGTCGCGTGGTCAAGGAAAAGGACCAGAATGTCGAGTGCGCCTGCGATCATCTCACAAACTTTGCAATTTTGATGCAAGTGAAGGAATTTGAAGTATGTTCTCTGTTTTCTGTATGCAATGATTCACTGGAGTATAAGAAATCTGAATCCTAGTTTTAAGGATCTATTAACAGCGGTGGGAAACCCTATGAACGACTTCTCAGATTTGATAATCAAACAGATTAAATCGGCTGAAGAAACTCAAAATGAAGGAATTATCAAAACAAATTTTCTCTCGTAAATCTTTTGGGCCAAAGTACAACATTTTCTTTTTCGTATTAGGGAACATGAAGATCCCATGCCTAGACCCCTTTTAAAGAGAACACATCAACAGCTTTTATATTTTCTAACAATTGCTTGTTTTTGTCTTTAAGGTTGAACCGGATCACTATAAAGCTTTGACAGTCATTACGTACGTAGGCTGTGGAGTTTCATTATTTGGACTCGCGCTCACTTTGGCGACTTTCTTATCACTTGAGTAAGACATTTCTCCTCGTTAATGTTATTATTGATGTTGTTGTTAATTTTGTCTTTGCTTAACCTCTCCAACCGTTTTTATAATATTTTGTTCCCCCTGAAGTAGTGAATTATAAGGGTGGCGTAGATGAATCCAAGACATTCTCTTCATTCGTGAGGCATCATCGTTGACTTTGGTTTCCTGAAAATAACTTCATCATTTCATTGAATTTTTTTTGCCCTCATTTTCAATAAGTTGAAGGTTCGTGTTATTTCAGGACGTTAGCTTCAGAACGGACCTCAATTCACAAGAATCTTGTGGTAGCCATTGGACTCGCGCAGATAATTTTCCTGGCCGGCATAGATGCCACATACAACCCCGTGAGTATCAGTAACTATTAATTACTTTCAGTTAAGAACCAGTTACTAGTAGCTAAGTAATGATAGTGTTAGGTCTAAGATTAGCAAATCATTTTAACCAACTTTAGAAGATTACAGTCCCCAAACTCCCTTATTTGCGCCCCATACGAGCGATCAACTCAGAGTGAACGCATGATCCCCTCTCATTTGAAATACAACGGAATTGACAACAATCATTTCTCCTTCCGCAGATTGCGTGTAAAGCCGTTGCTTTGTTCTTGCACTATTTATACACAGCGGCTTTCACGTGGATGTTATGCGAAGGAGTTCATCTGTACAGCAAAGTGGTAGAAGTATTCAGCGAAGGATCTAAGATGAAATACTACTACGCCTTAGGCTGGGGTAGGTCGAATTTTCTCTTGACTGGCCGAGCACCGATACAAAGCGAACATGACTTAATTAAAAATGAAAAAATTAAAACTGTGCCATTTTTTCTAGGTCTACCGTTGACCATTGTGTTCATTTCCGCCTGTTCTCGCTGGGGAGGATATGGGAACGAGCGAGCGTACGTATGGGTATTAGTTAATCTACGGCCTAGATTGTACCTCTTGACAGATTGATTCTAAATGTTACCATTTTTAATGCGTACTGATCCCATCCATTCTCGACCGCCCTTGCTCTCTACTGACATACTCTCCCCCAGACAGTGATCCTACATCTCGCCAATCTAAGATTTTCTGGTTTCCTATACTTTTGAGGCAACTTTTTTAGTTCGCAGGGAAAGCTACTCAAACTGTCGAGGCTTATCTCGTCTTTTAGCGATGCTCTCATAAAATGACAGTTCCTACACAACTTTGCTTTACCGTTTGCTTTTACTTTTCAGCTGCTGGATTTCAATCACTGACGGGCTTATTTGGGCTTTTGTTGCTCCTGTTCTTATCGTGATGACGGTAGGTGCTTCAGTCTCTCAATTTTATCTTCATAAGTTATTCCAACATGAATTTGCGTCCTTTGCTAAATTCCTTGGTGCACTGGAACTACGTATTCTTGCAGAAGGCGAGCGAGTTTGTGAAAGAGAGTGAGAGAGAGGTCTTTCGCAATCTTTGCCCCCACCAACCCCCTCCATTTCTTTTTAGTAAAACTAGTGCAAAATTTCGCAAGGAAATTTTCGTAATTTGACTTACAAAGTAAAAATCATGATATGAAAAGCAATATAAAAGTTTATGACCTGGACACAAATGTTAAACCAAATGTCGCTACTGACCACTTAACACTTGAGCTTTTGCTTTCCTGCTTACTCGGGGTACGACATTTGAATCCTACATCGATTTCTGAGGACATCATTATCTACATCATGCTCAAACACACCATTTTGGTTTTGCAGATCAACTTTGTGGTTATGATAATGGTAATCAGAGTGATCATCGCATCTGTAACGTCACTACAGAATCCTGGCAATGCTTCCCAAGTCAGGTACGTACATCTTATTACGTCTTCGTGGTTTTTTGTTGTAAATTACATCATCTAACTACGTCCATTTGCTTTTTTGACTTTCTCTCCTACTCTGTCGTTGTTTGCGCAGTTTAACTTTGTAGCTCGCGTGTTCATGCTCACTTTCCTTGTCACGCCACGACGCACCAATGATTTGAACGTTCGCCCGATCGCTCGTTAGCTTGTTCGTCCCTTCGCTCATTGGCTATTTGGCTCGTTCGCTCGTTCGCACGTGTGCTCGTTTGCTCATGCGCCTACTCGCTCGTTCGCTCATTCGTTCGTTTGCTCTTTCGCTCATGCGCTTGTGTGCTCGTTCGCTAATGCGCTCGTGCACTCGTGCGCTCGTGCGCTCGTGCGCTCGTGCGCTCGTGCGCTCGTGCGCTCGTGCGCTCGTGCGCTCGTTCACATCGCTCCTTCGCTCCATTTGCTTCTTTGACTTTCTCTCCTACTCTGTCGTTGTTTGCGCAGTTTAACTTTGTAGCTCGCGTGTTCATGCTCACTTTCCTTGTCATGCCACGAACGTTCGCCCGATCGCTCGTTAGCTTGTTCGCCCCTTCGCTCATTGGCTATTTGGCTCGTTCGCTCGTTCGCACGTGCGCTCGTTTGCTCATGCGCCTGCTCGCTCGTTCGCTCATTCGTTCGTTTGCTCTTTCGCTCATGCGCTTGTGCGCTCGTTCGCTAATGCGCTCGTGCGCTCGTGCGCTCGTGCGCTCGTGCGCTCGTGCGCTCGTGCGCTCGTGCGCTCGTGCGCTCGTGCGCTCGTGCGCTCGTGCGCTCGTGCGCTCGTGCGCTCGTGCGCTCGTGCGCTCGTGCGCTCGTGCGCTCGTGCGCTCGTTCGTTCGTTCGCTCGTGCGTTCGTTCGCTAGTGCGCTCGTGCGCTCGTGCTCCTTCGCTCCTTCGCTCCTTCGCTCCTTCGCTCCTTCGCTCCTTCGCTCCTTCGCTCCTTCGCTCCTTCGCTCCTTCGCTCCTTCGCTCCTTCGCTCCTTCGCTCCTTCGCTCGTGCACTCGTTCGCTCGTGCGCTCGTTGTTTCATTATTTTGATCCTGTTCGTTTTAATATCTTTTTCTGTATGCTGGTGTATCCTTTTAATTTGATCGTCAATCCCAATGATTTATATAGGTCTTCCTCACGCATGGTATGCAATTTTTCCTGTAGGGCTGGCGTCAAAGGCATGATTGTTTTACTGCCTCTGCTCGGTCTGACGTGGGTGTTTGGACTTTTGGCCATCAATAAGGACACTATTGCTTTCCAGTATTTATTTGCCATCCTCAATTCACTTCAGGTCAGAAATCTTCGTCCTAGCAATATAGGTTCAAGCTTAGGGAAAGAGTCTTCTTTTTTAGTTCCATTTCGAGGAGAATCCGCCTCAAATTGCTTTTAGACTCAAAGCTATTTTTTCCTCTGGGAAAAATTTTACAATAAAATGTACTTCACGTTCACGTTTTGGGTTCATGTTTCGGTGGGAACTTAAGATGCTGTCTGTGGTTTCAGGGTTGTTTATTCTTATGCTCGATCCAGCCAGGATATGGGAAAACGAGATATTTTTTAAAATCGCTCCGGAGAAATTTTTTTGGGATTAAGTCCTAAATGGGAATCCATTCTCTTAGCTTGACCATCTCCTATCCTCAGCTGACGCTCAGCGATCCCCTGATAGTAGCAAATGTAATGTCGATGAAAAATCGAATTGCCAATGATGACGAGATATACAATTTAAATTTCGCTCTCTGCCCAGATACTACATTAATGTCCCAAGGTTTCCATACCCTTGAACCTGAGTGTCACGCACTCCAATAGAGAGCTGGTTCATATCATCTTCTGTAGGATTCTTGATAGTACTAAACGTCTCGACATATCACGGAAATTCACCTACTTTTGTGGTTTATGACTACATCCCTAAAAGTAAATCGGTGACGAGCTCCACGCAAGAATATTTACTGATTTTTTTTTTCTTTACTACAGGGACTTTTCATTTTTGCTTTCCACTGTATCGGAAACACCGAGGTATGAAATTACATGTCCTGCTTAATTTTCACCTTGTCTTAAATTAATCATTTGAGACACTGCTAGCGTAAATACTCAGTTTTATGACCAGTCAGTAACCCGTGATTTTACTCCTAGGTACGAGTTGCATACAAAAGACTCCATGAGAAAAGGACTTTGGCAAAGAGCCTTCCTGAACACTCTCTGTCTTCAACACACCACATGTCAAGTCGGGTAAGAAGTCAAACGCATACACAAAACAAACATATAGCGTAAGCTGGAGAAACGCAACTTAATTGTAAACGGCAATCCCCGCCAGTCTAATCAACAAAGAAAATGGCGAGGGATGTTGACTTTGATCGATACTGGCACAATTAGCGATTTTTTTCAGCCGATCGCGACGACTTGGCTCTTCGACTATATTTCCTCGTTTCTCTTTGACGTTATGCTAAAATCGCCTAATCTGATTACAATGACGACTTTGCAGGCGTTTTGTTTCGAAGCAGTGATGATAATCTCAAAAACGAGAACAGCTGTTTATTGCTGGTAATATATGTACCATTTACAGCGATAGGTGAAAATCGCCAAGCATTCGGAGGGCAAACTGCTTATTTGCACCCGCGCGGTGTCATTTACCGCTCAAACGAGAGTGATAATCGTTACATGTCTCTTCTGTGCATTCTGTTTCACAGCCGGCAAAGAAACGAATGGACTCTCACGAGACGAACTTCACCGGGGATGATGACATCATTGTTACTAAGACTATCCGAAGCGTGTCGGGTAAAGACAATACTCGATCTTAATTACACAAAATATGTTCTTCTTACCACGTTGATCAGGATCGAAATATACCGTGTACTCAGGTTAACATGGGGTTCTCCTGTTGTGTTGTTGTACAAAGTACTTTACCGTTGCAAAACTAAGGCATGACCTACATGCGATGCAATGCCATCCATCCAGGGAGAGTAGTAATACACCTAATCGCTTTCTATTACAGAAAATGAGATAAACTGCGGCAACTACTGTTGAAACTAAATGTTCATTTTTTCACGCAGAAGATGAACAATTTTTTTACCTCCATTCTTGTTTTTTTTTTTTTCTTTTTTCCAGATGTGAAGATTTCTGGGGACAACTTGGCCTTGCAAACGGTTAAGTATAAACAAACTCAAGAACTCAATTTTAGCTCAGCCACTGTTGTGATTTTAAAACGTAACAGATAAGGATGATAACCGTTGCTGACAGAAAAGCTGGGCGTTATCTTCACGTATCATAATATTGCACAATTCTTATTAAAAATATAAAATCTAAATTATGAGTCACTACATTAACTCTCGGAAAATGTGGTTTTTACTAATAATACCATATGGATTTATTATATTCTCACTCATGGAAAATATTTATAATGTCAACAATTTTATAAGTTTGTATTTTTTCTAAATCTTATTGAACTAAATCTTGCTGTGGATCGCTCCTTTTTTATTTCTAATAATGCACTTTTTACACCATTTTTGTATTGTTTAAGTAATTAATTATGAAATTGACATTTTAAGCATTTATAAACGCTCACAAATACAAAAGTAAGTTGTAAAATTGTTCTTGTAGATCACGCAATAGAGCCATTTTCGATTGAGTGTTGTATCATAACAGCCAATCAAAACAAAGGACAAAATCACAAGTAGCCAATGAGAATTCAAAGTAAAGCAACATTGGTTTTAGCTTTAAATCTGATTGGTTGAGAAAGCGGTTCAAGTTTTCTGGACCAATCACAAAGCGACAAAAGCAACACCAAATTAAATTGGATTACTTTCAACACTCAATTACAAATTGCTCTATCATCATTCAAATCTTGTTATGTTGTAACATATCATGTTCAATATTTAGTTCGGTGACACTGATTCTGGCCGCTGGTCGTTAAACTGTCCGTCTCCTGACCCGTGAGTAAATGGATATTTTAAACAATTTTTGAACAGAAAGCTCTCGCATATAATTAGAATTTCAAAAACGCACGAGTACTTGCGCTAGGTCTAGAACGCGTTGGGTTCTGGGATTGCCCATAAATTGTATAAAAGTACGATCTCTGTCACCATTTCGGCACCTTGAGGAGTTTTTGCTTTAGAAGTACGAGGAACTCATTTCAGCCCTCGCGAGCAAAATATTTTCAAAATAGCTAAATTTACTTGTTTCTTTGCAACTCTATTATATGTGAGGGCTTCTTACATGATTTTAAAACAGGAACGTGGTAATTAATATCTATAAGTCAATCATTTCTGTAAAATTGTGAGCTCGACACCTTCTGATATATAAAAGTTACCCCTGAAACGCAGTTCTAAATTATTGCGTAAAAACGAAAATATTTCCTAATATTTCAATTCAGTCCTTAAGTCTCTTTAAAATTAAAAAAAACTGTGAAATTGACAGCACCTTCGGAAAGTAAGTAATGCACTTAACTCTCAAAGATAGCAATAACCTGGAAAAATAAATAATTGAAAAAAATCAAAACTTGAAACAGAATCCCCGACTGGATTAAAATGTACAAAATATGGTTCTAAGCGATAAACGAAAACTGATTGCCGCCACCATTTCTCTCTATTCATCTTCCTAAGTGCAGCGTAATTGGAACAAAATCAGGAAGCAGGTCAGATTATAGAGGACGTCCTTAACGAGAGACCGTGATAAAAATTTAATTTTTGTTTTTTTCTCGTGGGGCGATAACTTGATAACGTGATTCAGTTTTGCTAAGAATAAAATCGATATTAAGAAAGGATTTGAGTAAAAATGTATTATCGTAAAAAACAGTTTCACTCTCAAGATCTCAGAAGTGACTCTTTTCACTGTCTGTCATACAATTCTTGTGGTGTTAGTTCGAAAAACTTTGTATTGGACTGACTAATAATCCCATAATTGATATTTTTCTTCATGCTCATCACGCGCCTGCCTGCTATTGTATTGGTATTGAAAGGAGAAATTCTGTTTTAAACACTCCAAGGAGTTAAAGGGTTAAGCAGGCTGAAATATAGGTATTGTAGCAATATAATTTCGAGTGCAATTTTATGTAAATAATCCCGAGTGAATCTTTCAAAGATAACACTAGTACATGAGCCCGTCGGGCGAGTGCAATTTGTAGTCTTTACAACTAGGCACTCGTTTTCAGCCAATCAGAAGCGCGTAATTTTTTCATGTACATTATTAACTTACTAACGAGCTTTGTCTATACACTTGCAGATTCGTGGACCTGGATCACATCAAACGAGCGTGAGATCATCCTCTACACAGTCCAGCTCTCATACAGAATTTTCAGAGCAACTAAGGCCGTTAACCAAAGAAGGCAGAAAACGCAAGAAAAGCTCCAGCCATAGAAAAACATTCTTTCAAAACTTTAGACCAAAAGTGTTAGGTTCCTGTAGCATTGTATAAGGACTTTATTCTTTTAACCTGTGCGCGTCATACGCCTTGTAGCCTTCGAGTTGGAAGGCGTATGATTATTTTCCCTGCGAACGTGGAGCAGGCTCCTTGCAGCATCTCTAATTGTGCGATCGTAGTCGAAGTTACTCGTAGGCTGTTTAAAGTCGTTTAGAAGACTACCACGTATTGTCTTCAAGTGAGTGATCTGCTTCATTAAGGCTTCGTTTGAGGCGCATTTAACAAATGTAAATAGTGAAAACATGAGTAGGGAGTGGTGTGCGTGTTGGGCCAGTGGAGAGCAGCTGAGGAGAAGGCTAGTACGAATCATTCGCAAGAAGTTATAATCTCTTGTCATCTGATAGATGCAGCGTTCTACAATCTGAAGTTGACATGAGATCAGTGTATATGGAGAGATGTATACACTGAACCCTTTAACCCCTAACAGTGATTGGCTTTTAGTTTCTCTTTACTGTATCACTCCTGAATCAAATATTAAGGTCATGAGAATAAAGGAAATGATAACCAATTTCAGAAGCTCTTGATTGTTAGTCAAATTCTCCTAATCAGTACCATAGGAAACGTGAAGAGAACAGTGGAGAGAATGTAAATACTAATGTTAGGGTGTAAAAGGTTGTCATTTTTGATGTATTTCTTTTTTGCAAGACGGCCTTTGCTGTGATGTTTTATCTTGTGATTTAGATAGAAGTTAGTATAAGCCGCTTTTTGCTTTCGCTGGCCTGTAATTGCTAGGAACGCTGAGTCAATGTTTGCAGATCTCTTGTTATCTTGAAATCAGTGCACCAACAGTCGAATGAATTATAGATGTTTAAAGTAGCTTCAATCTATCGATTGAGATTTGTCTGTCACTTTCATACGCCAGTACCAATACCAGTCAGTAGCAATTACATTTACGTAGTGTGAGAAGTTATATGCGTTGTACATCGCCGTTGATTAAAAGTATCGTTGACCGTTGGTATATGTTGAATAATAAAGAAATAAACGAAGATGTTGCTGCGTGTTTTGCGTCCTAGGTGTGGAATCGGGTATCCAGTCCATTCGTTACCCACATTCATACGATACTTGCCCAGTTTCCGTCTACTCGTACCCGACCCGCTGGTTGATTTAAACCCGTTCCAACATTCAGTGACGATCTAAATCCAGGAGATCTTACAAAATACCTCACGCACGAGCAAGTGACCAGGTGTCGATTGTTGTGCACAACAAGTAAAGTTCTTTTGTACCTACTTGTGACCCTCATAATAATGAGACCAGACCCCGCATTTTGGTTCCAGGCCTTATATTCCGGTGGTCACGTGTTAAAAATAGACGTCACATAAACAAACTTATTTAACAGAGATCATATTGCTACCTAACGTAAGAAACTGGTCCTCCTATAGTTATCTGTGCAGGCCAGAAAACGTAGTTTCAGAGTTAATCTAAGTAGTAGCTATTACAGGAATATCAACTCTGTCATATGCGCAAATACATAAATTGACCAAATTGATTAATTGTTAAAAATTAGACTCTCTGACACAGCGTGTTCGGATGACAATGTTTCATCTCTACACATTTTTTCAGGTCTAATGCTTTATTCAAAAATATATTTCTTCACTCTTTCTTTACTGTACATATGACAAAATTTATAAACACTCTTGGAAATATTTACAAGGAAAGTTATGGTACATACATCAGATTAAGGAAAGTTATGGTATATACATCAGATTAAAAGACTTCGAAAATCATAGCAATTTCCTCATTTTTAGCCATGGATTAGGACAAGTATAAAATGAACTTATTCTGATATCAAAGAAAACATCAATAGTATATATTACTATAACAGCTCGGATTTCTGTCCCTAAGATCATAAAAATATTTTCTCACCGCAGTTACACTTTTTTCCACAATCCCTCCTTCAAGGCCGAATCACTTCCATCTCCAAAGGAATTGGCTCATCATAGCCCTTCCTTGGTATTTGGAAGTGAGTCAACCGCAAGTCTTCTAAAACTTGTTTGCAGTTCGCATAAAACTTTAATACGTAATTGATTAATCTGTCTCGCAAGAAGACAGAAATCGAGGCCAAACATGGCATCAAAACGTGGAAGACAGCAAAACCCAGAAAAAAGGCTTTTCCCGTATATTGCAATTCCGATGATCTTGCGAGTGTCTAACCAGCTCATCATTGCTTTCCTTCTCCACCGTCTGCAGTTCAATTTTTTCGCCCCATCGTGGTGTCACAAATCGTCTTGAATTCAACGAGTTTAGATATCTGCTACAATAGGACTTTTCTTATCTGTTGAGTCAGGCTTTCGGTATCTCGTTCTTCAACGTAGGATTGAGCAGGGATGAAGTATTTCTGCGACGAACGCAGTGTCAACAGATTAGACTGTTGGTACGGTTCATACACTGCTAAATCGCCCTCGTCCGGAAACGGGTTCAATGTCAGAGTTTTTAGGTGAAGCACCATATTGTTTAACACCACACTGCGACGGGTTTGATAGATTTGTGGTAGAGGAAATGCTGGTGTAAACAAAGAAGAAGCAAAATAAAAATCACTGCTTTATAACCGCAAAAAGTGTTCAATTCAAGCGATTTTACAGAGTAATCTAACAAACAGATCGTTCTTTCGCTCAAGCCGCACTGCTCTCTCAAGACGAAAAATAATCCAAAACTTTAGGCAATGTAAAGATAACAGTTTTCGATTTAGTGCCAAAAACCAAGAACCAAAGTAACCACAACGGCCAATCAGAAACGTAGTTAACATCATGAAAAATGTTCCATCGATAAAAAAGACATCAATGAAAATTTTTGAAAACGAGAAAGATCAATAATACCAAACACTGAAGAAAAAGAAAAAGTGTTACCTAAGGCAAGAGACGTTTCTCTTTCTGGATGACAGTGACTGCAATGTGTTTCTCCAAGTCGTGCCAGACTCCGTTTGCTAAGTAGAAAAAAAGTTAATTTTCGGTTTCAATCTTGAAAAGTTTAGGTTAGGTTTCTTTACCAGTCCCCTACCCGGAGGTTCCTACGTACCTGTGTATTTTTGGCAGGACGAGCACTGTATTTCTGGAGTTGTCCTGGGCCTGAACGGGAGTCTTCTCTCGCGTTCGCGTTCGAGCTCTTTCCAGTTCTTCTTCCATTCTTATCTCACAAAAGTAGTTGATCGCTTCTGCAGGCATCGCCGTGTCAGCGGCTTTTCCTCCTAGGGCCTCAAGGTCAAAAGAGACTACAAAAGATAAGAAACACGTACATTGTCATTAAAACGAAAGGTGCCTTCTTTCATAATATAACTCTGATTTAAGGGTAGGAAGAATAACTTCTGCGATAATTGTACGGTATTTGGGATAATTGCACTATTCATGGTATTTTAGACAAAGAACAGGACACATATACCAAGAGAATAAGGTTCAGTTTATACTTACTGGTCGTCGGCTTGGACATCTCGGACGTTGTCCTCTGGGAAAACAAAACAAAACAAGAAAAACAACAAAAAAACCAAGTCAAACAATAAAACAAAAAACAAGAAGTTGTCAATTACATAGAAAGGCTTTTTTTTCACGCTACCACGACACGAGGATTACGAATCAAACAGACCTGTGAGCTGTCTGTCTTCAAAATTCCCTTGATAGAGCTGGGTGTCTTTGGCGTCTTTGTTCCTCTAGGTTAAAGAAACGAAAAAAAGTATTCAATAAAGAAAGACAACTTAGTGTACATTGGTTGAATAACTCACACTCCCAATCCATAATTGGGCCTAAAGACAATTCACAGCTGCCATTTCTTCTCTAAACTTAGTCGCACCAGACTCTATAGCCAATTAACACGTCTTACCACAAATTTCATCATGAATTTTTCGATATACTACTGTCTGACTTTCTACCACTTTATTTGTTGTAATGGCACCCGTCCCCAACGTAATACTACCCGTGGGAGACATCCTCTTTCAGCTTCCCTTGAACCCGTCCATAGCAGCGACTAAATTTTGCTATTAATGACAATATATTCAGATGTATATCAAATAGGAGTTATGACATAAGAACAGACTCACTTGACTACACTGCCAGCTTGAGCGCGACTGATCTTGCCAGCCAAGGATCGGATGTGTTGTCTGAACTGACCGAGCCACTTGTTTAGCCACTGGATACACATGTCCTTTACACGAGCCTTCCTTCTGTTTCCAGGGATACTCTGGTAGATAAGGAAAGGAAAACAAAATTGCATAGTTCAGCCAGCACGTTCGTCAAATAACATAACCAAACTGACTGGTTTGATTATCCTCTGGGGCTGGATTTCTTAAAACCCGATGACCACTGATTCTAAGGGCAGACAGAATACCATGGCAACAGAATTGGAATAAGTGCTAATTTTGCTTCAAACAACTCAGCTCAGCTTGGATTAAACAGATGAACGCTTACTCGAGTTTATAGGCTGGGTATATTTCACTTAGTTGTGACCATAGTGAGACATTTAAGGTTATTTTTTTACCGTTAGCAACTTCGCTTTACTGATCATGTACCATGTATTCGTACATAAATTTGTATACGTACCGTGGTATCGAATGAGTCCAGTTCCTTGACAAAGTACCCAGCAGTGTCTGGTACTCCTATAGAAGCTAGCAATTCTAGAACAAACTTCCTGTAAGTTCCAAAAATGCACAGAAATCAGCTATCAATTTGTTATAAATCATAATTTCATACGATAATCTAAAACAAGTAAATGTAAGTAACGTGTTAAAAGAAAATAACAACGAAAAAAACTCCGAGTCGCAAGTGAGAATTTAGACCAGAGCTACATGACTTTCTCATTTCAAAGTCGCTTACTCTTTGTCGAGCTGCAATAAGCCATATGTTAGATAAATACGCTAAAGGCGTACTGCATACTGCTAGGATCAGAAATATCGAACACGAACTGTGTGCATACACTAATGTGAGGCAACAAAAATGATAAATTTTGAACTTACTATTAAGCATTTACCACGGATTACCGTGCGTGTACTTATTCACTCTAAAGATTACACGTATATTATACTGTGTAAGCTTTGGAGCACTGCTTTACTTATTAGAAAGAAAACTGTGTTTTCATGTGAGCGAGCTGTTAAGAAAGAGGCTACAGCTGAAATGATTTTAAGCACGAAACAAAATAACGAAGCGAATCACTTCGCAAAATTGATAAACTTTTTGAGGTTGTTCCTTTCAAGCATGTGATATGTATGTTGGCTGTTGCTGGCTAATATGGCAAGATACAGTTTGCAGACAAACGTTTCTTTCTGTAGGCTACCGTACCTGATTTCCTCATCACCATCAATAAACTGCGCCATAAGTTCAGCCACAAAGGACACTTCATACACTTTCATTGTGTGCGAAAGCTGTAGAGCCACGCGCAAAAACTGTTTGGCCTGGGACGAGCCATGTGCAGTAGGATGATCTGGGATATTCAGTTCAGCTATTGTGGTTCGATTGACTTTCTCGGCCGCGTCTCGGTCCAGACCTTCTTGACGATATAAGAGCATTATGGCCTGCAAACATGAAGAGGAAAAAAAATTTGGCAATCGGCATGCGTCATTCAAAGAATGAAAATTAACGCTGATCTTCCAAACGCAGACCAATTAACTTTTATCAGGCGCCAATCCAATCTACTACATGTAACATTCTTTTCAATACAAAAAGAGTATAAAATCAAGTATGAAAGGGCTCTGCATTTGAAACCAAGCCAAACACAGCAGCCAATACTTTACTTACAGCGCAAATCTGTGTCTTCAGTTCATGGTCATTTGTCTTCTGAATCAGGGTCAGTAAAACTTCCACAAAGCTCTCTGGTGTCCAAGGTCTTGGAAATGTCTGAAAATGAGTTGTACCAACTATTAAACCATGCTTTCCTTCTCGTTTTTTCTCGTTTGTGCACAATAACAAGGTTCCATCGTTTCACTACTCAACATCCTGCGTGTTGTTGATCTGGTCTAAAATTTACACTGTTCGACCCAGCCGGTTAAAGGCGGGTAACGCTATCCAACAG